AAAATAATCAAAGGAGATAGACTTTGTCCTCAATAACAGCTCAGAAGGATCTGTACAGATGTTAAGGAACAGTCCCAGGATGATGTGGTGGATTTGTCTGGTGACTCAGCAACATCATGATACCCACAAAGTCAAATCCAGACCTAGGAGAGAGTGGGACTACTTTATTCAGTTTTACTTGTGCGCTTTTTGGATTTTGCTCTTTTATCTATAGAAATTAAAATAGTAGAGCAGTAGTGCTTTAATAAATGAATCTTTCTTTGTTTTTTTCTTTTCAAAGATTCAGTGCATCCAAAGTTAAAAGCTTTGTGCCTCTTCTCCCTCCATCCCCTCCTCTCATCCTCTCCCACTCTGCTCCTGTTGGCCCGAGGCGATACAATTAAAAGTTATCACCCAATGAGCTGAATGATGAAAACATGCCTTTTCCATGCCTTTTCCTCCTTCTGGTGTTACTGTTGTCATGGTTTTATTTATTTTTATTTATTTTTTTTGCTTGTTCCTTTTTCATTCTGTATTAATTTTTTTATCTTTATTCATTCCTCTGGGTATCAGAAGTTTAAAGGGTTATTCCTCACTACATTTAGTCTGTTGCCGAAGTGGGTGAAGTCATTTTGTAACCAGCCCAGTCATTCTCCTAATATGGCAGTATTCTTTTAGCTTTAGCTTATGTTACACCCCTCTATTCAATTAGCCTGGCTGTGTGCAGGCCTTGATTGCACTGAGTGGTTGCACCTGTGTGTGCAGGATAAAAGCCTGCCTGGTGCAGCTTCTGAGATGAGACTGATCTGAGGTAGCACGTTTGGCGTGCATGCATGATTGTGGTGCCTTCAAAACATGCGTGCGTGCGTGTGTTTTTCTTTTCTCTCTACCTGCCCTCTCTGTTTTTACAGGTTGTAAGGTGACCAGACCAGAGGGGATTGGTGTGGTCCTGTTGAGTTTCTAGAGGAACTCTTTTGAGGGTGGAGGTGTTACGCCCCTCTATTCAATTGGTCTGGCTGTGTGCAGTCCTTGATTGCACTGAGTGGCTGCACTGGATAAAAGCATGCTTGTTGCACCTTCTGAGATGAGACTGATCAGAGGGAGCACCTTTGTGAGCTCTTCCTGTGTGGCAATTTTGGTGAGGCCTTTTGGAGGCCAAATTTTAATTAAAAAATTCTCGTTAACGTGCATCATGTGTCCAGACCTGGTTCTTATGTTGCGATCCGACGAGTCGGGTCGTAACACTGAGCATAAATAATGTAAGTTAATGGTAACAACTAGCACCATTTTAAGCCACTGCTTCAAAGCACAAGGACATGCACAGCGGCGTGACGTCTGGCAGACATTGTCACTTCCGAGTTCACTGTATAACATTTGCAACATGTCAGCCTAATGGGAGTAAATGGTGAGTTTTGGGGCCACTGCATGGTGTCCTTGTGCTCTGCAGCGCCCCAAGGCAAAATGGGCACCTGTAAATTCTCTGTGTTTCTGATTTTCTGGATCATTATTGAATCATTTTCTTGACTTTCATGTGAAATACTAGCTGTTACCATTCACTTACACTGTTTATGCTAAGCTAAAGCTAATGGAATTTACAGGTGCTGGCCAGTAAATTAGAATATCATCAAAAGGTTGAAAATATTTCAGTAATTCCATTCAAAACGTGAAACTTGTACATTATATTCATGCAATGCACACAGACCAATGTATTTCCAATGTTCATTACATTTAAATTTGATATTCATAAGTGACAACTAATGAAAACTCCAAATTTGGTATCTCAAAAAATTAGAATATTCTGAAAAGGCTGAATATAGAAGACACCTGCTGCCACTCTAATCAGCTGATTTACTCAAAACACCTGCAAAGGCCTTTAAAAGGTCCCTCAGTCTTGTTTTGAAGGCACCACAATCATGGGGAAGACTTCTGACTTAACAGCTGTCCAAAAGACAATCATTGACACCTTGCACAAGGAGGGCAAGACACAAAAGGTGATTGCTAAAGAAGCTGGGCTGTTCGCAGAGCTCTGTGTCCAAGCACATTAACAGACAGGCGAAGGGACGGAAAAAATGTGGTAGAAAAAAGTGTACAAGCTCTAGGGATAACCGCACCCTGCAGAGAATTGTGACGACAAACCCATTCAAAAATGTGGGGGAGATCCACAAAGAGTGGACTGCAGCTGGAGTCAGCGCTTCAAGAACACCACGAGGAGACTCATGAAAGACATGGGATTCAGGTGTCGCATTCCGTGTGTCAAGCCACTCTTGAACAAGAAACAAGCGCAAGAAGCGTCTCGCCTGGGCCAAGGACAAAAAGGACTGGACTGATGCTGAGTGGTCCAAAGTTATGTTTTCTGATGAAAGCAAGTTCTGCATTTCCTTTGGAAATCAAGGACCCAGAGTCTGGAGGAAGAGCGGAGAAGCACAGAATCCAAGTTGCATGAGGTCCAGTGTAAAGTTTCCACCGTCAGTGATGGTGTGGGGTGCCATGTCATCTGCCGGTGTTGGCCCACTCTGTTTCCTGAGGTCCAGGGTCAATGCAGCCGTCTACCAGGAAGTTTTAGAGCACTTCATGCTTCCTGCTGCTGACCAACTTTATGGGGATGCAGACTTCACCTTTCAACAGGACTTGGCACCTTGCACACAGTGCCAAAACCACCAGCACCTGGTTCAAGGACCATGGTATCCCTGTCCTTGATTGGCCAGCAAACTCGCCTGACCTTAACCCCATAGAAAATCTATGGGGTATTGTGAAGCGGAGGATGCAATACGCTAGACCCAACAATGCAGAGGAGCTGAAGACGACTATCAGAGCAACCTGGGCTCTCATAACACCTGAGCAGTGCCACAGACTGATCGAGTCCATGCCACGCCGCATTACTGCAGTTATTGAGGCAAAAGGAGCCCCGACTAAGTATTGAGTGCTATACATGCACATTCTTTTCATGTTCATTCTTTTCAGTTGGCCAACATTAGAGAAACAAACATTTTTTTCATTGGTCTTTAGAATATTCTAATTTTCTGAGATACCAGATTTGATGTTTTCATTGGTTGTCACCTATAAATATCAAAATTAAACGTAATAAACATCGGAAATACATTGGTCTGTGTGCATTGCATGAATATAATGTACAAGTTTCACGTTTTGAATGGAATTACTGAAATATTTTCAACCTTTTGATGATATTCTAATTTACTGGCCAGCACCTGTATGTCAGATTAGGGAAATGACTGAGCTCTTTTCCAACGTGCTTTTCCCACTTATCTAACCCTTGTGGTAGCTACTTTAGCGACAGAATTTTATTTTCTGCTTATGATTGTTTTACGAAGGAATACTCAGCTGGTTTTTGTTCAATCAGACTGGCTAAAACTAGTGAAGACTTGCCCCGTCACCTTTTTCACCTTTTGGAGCTCATACTGTATCATCTCCTCTCCGCCTGTTTGCCTTTCATCTCCCAGATTCTGTCTCTGTGGGGTTCTCTCTCTCTCTCTCTCTCTCTCTCTCTCTCTCTCTCTCTCTCTCTCTCTCTCTCTACATCTCTCACTCTCTCTCTACATCTCTCTCTCTCTCTCTCTCTCTCTCTCTCTCTCTCTCTCTCTCTCTCTCTCTCTCTCTCTCTCTCTCTCTCCTCTCTCTCTCTCTCTCTCTCTCTCTACATCTCTCACTCTCCTCTCTACATCTCTCACTCTCTCTCTACATCTCTCTCTCTCTCTCTCTCTCTCTCTCTCTCTCTCTCTCTCTCTCTCTCTCTCTCTCTCTCTCTCTCTCTCTCTCTCTCTCTGGCGCGCGTGCCTTTGATCGGGTCTCAGCATGGCAGCACCATCTTCAGGCCTGCGAAGATAGGTGTGCAGCAGGAGCCCACCCTCTTTTCATTTCCTTCTGTTATTTTTGGAGCGCTCCAGATATTTTTAGCTCTGTGTTGCCATGTGAACTGGTTGTCCCGGAGACCAAGGAGAGGGGTGCTCCCATGCAGAGCTGGCATCCAGTTTTTCTTTTGTGTCAAAATTGTAAGCGCTGTCATGATGAAGGAGGGAAAGAAAGCACATTGTCATCGTGCTTGGGGGCATGCATCAAAAATAATAATAATAAAGCAACTCGTGATGTTTGGCTTGAAAATGTCAGTGATGGTATTTGATGAAAGATCATTTATAAATCAAACAATGGTAAAGTTCATTATGAGATTATTTTGCATGACTTTTATTCGGTACGATGGTGTAACAGTGTGTTTACTTTAGATTGTTATCTATCCACTGGCTCTAATATCTGCTTTGTATGAATGAATCACAGCATGATGCAAATTAGATGTACAGTAGAGAAATGAAACAACCTAATGATGAAAAATCTTTGACACGTCAAAACAACAGCATGATTTTATTTTGTATTTGCACGAATGTGTTTGTGCATTTTTTAAATTCTCAAATGTTTTAAAATGCAATGCTAATTCTTCTATTTTGCTGCTGATATTTTTCTTCATTTCCATTTCTGTTTTATTACACCTCCTCAACTATGAAATAGAAAAAACAAGGGTTTTGTTATGTATTAACAGTGAAAATACTTTTATTTACACTGATATTAAAACACATTATGACTCACAACTGAGCTGTGGTTCAAACTTTTAGCAGAAATCCTTCCATGAATTATAAGTACTCGTGTATTCTTGCTTGGTTATGTACAATCAGTACTCTCTGATGAACTGAAATAATGTTCCAGTTTTTGGTTCTCATCTGTTTTTCTGTCTTCCAGGGACTGAACATCATCTTCAATGTGGCTTTGGCTCTGCTCAAGGTCAGTGATGAAGTCATTCAGTTCTGCTTGTTTCTGCACTTGTGAATAAACTATTTCTGTTACAAAAATCTTCTCTGTATCTAAAATAAAAAGAATCAATCATGTTTCCAGATAGAAGTGGGGGAAACAACTTGTAGTATTTTTTTTCATTTGTCTCCCCCTTATGGTCAAAATAGAAACTGCACACACATTTTAGTTTTCCGGGTTTGTGGACAATCAATCAATCAGTCAGTCAATCAATCAGTCAAAGCTTTATTTATAAAGCGCCTTCCGCAACCCTGTCAGGAAGCCCAAGGCGCTGAACACTGTACAGAACAAAGTCAAATAAAGTGAATAAATCAGAAAATAAAAGCAATTCAAATTACAGATTACAAATTACAAAAAAGGTGAAACATTCTAGTAGAATACAAATGTGTAAAACAAGGGAAAAATTGAACCAATGAAGACTGTGAGATAAAATCAACATAAATGATGGCCTAACTCAAATACATTCAGGGAACGCCAAGCGGAGGAGGTGTGTTTTTAGGCGGCTCTTGAAGACTGGCAGAGATGGGGACAGCCTAACTGAGGGTGGCAACTGGTTCCAAAGTGACGGTGCTAGTGCTGAGAAAGCCCGGTCCCCGCGAGTACGACACCTAGAACGAGGAACAACGAGCAGGCCTTGGTCAGAGGAGCGCAGAGCGCATGATGGGGAATGTCTGTCCAGGAGCGTGGACAAGACACTTGAGTTTCAATTTACCTTGATGTGCATCTTTTAAAATCTTTTATTGTCCATGAAAGTTAACTCAGGGATTCTACAAACAGAAGTACATTTGAAAACAATGAATGCTTATTTGTGAAAGCCTTTTTTAAAACGACTAAGACACCATTTGATGTAGAGGAGAGAAAATGGCTTACTTGGTTTTATTTGTCCCATCTGAGAGTGGCCCAGGCAGTTGGGAAGAATCATCCTCATGTACCCAGGGAAGCTGTGGCTACAATGTAGCTCATCATCACTAGGGTTTGAACGTGTGTGTGAATGGATGAATGACTGATTGTATTGTAAAGCGCCTTGGGGGTTCCAGGACTCTAGATGGCGCTATATCAAATACAGGCCATTTACCATTTTACCACTCTGCACCTGAAACACATTCAGATAACTTATCATTCATCTTGAGTTGAATGACCCAGGCATATATTGATTTGGAGAACTACCAAGAGGTCATTGATGGCTTCATAGACAAAAACTCACAAATAATTTACGTTAAAATGCAGAAAAACATTCTTTAATCTACTGAATCAATAATTTTTGGGAGCATCTCATACTGAACGTCCTGTGTTTTTATTTTTAAATCAAACGGTACATAGTATTAGTGGTAATATATCATCCATATCCAAAACATGTATGGAATCAGATATTTATTGTGTGTTTTCGGGTACAATTTAGGGGATAAAATCTAAACATTTTGCTACCCAAGTATTCCGTTTCATACAAAAAAAAATTATTCATTGTAGAAAAGCACATCCACACATTCTCAGTCATTTGCTGCAAATTGTTTCAGATGCTGATGTTGGAAATGGGAGCACATGAGGATGGGGAGGGGGAGGATGGGGCTTCCACTGACTGGATACTATTGGCCAGGCATGACGACATTTTCCTCCGCTGCTCCCTCCTGCACTCCTCCCTGCTCTCCTCACCCCTCCCTTCATCCGTGCTCGCCTCCCTCCCTGAACAGCTTGGCAGTCGGTGTTCACATCACAAGAGCATCAGCTATAGCGTTAGCATTCTGAATCTGAGAGAGCAAAGCTCAGTGTTTTGTTTTTTCTCTAGCTTTATTTTTCATGGATGCCCGCTTGGAGCGTCTTCTCTCCCTCACTACTTAATTTTTTTCATCGTTGCCTCCTTTCTCACTCCTCATCTAATTCCACCTTTACCTTTTTCTCTGTTGGCTGGATATATATATATATATATTTATTTATTTTTTACGTGCTATTTCTGTACATCCACCCTGATCTGCAACGGAGACGCCCATACCAGCTTGTTAGCTATTAGCTGTTAGCATCACAAAGATCAGAGGAGGATCAGGGCTGATGGGAAACGCTGAGGCAGCTTTGCCTCGCCCAAACTGGCCAGAAACAACATCCCTGACAGTGCAACAACATCCCCTGATGCAAACACTCCTCCACTGGGCCGTGTCGCTCACACAGACGTGAGTTTCCATCTGAAGGAGCTGGCTTCTCATCTGAAAGATCCACTAACTGATACAGACCGGATGCCTGGCTGCTCTTGGTAACAAGATCCCAGCAGCGGGGGAGACGCTGGAGTCCATGCCGGAGGAACTGATGGGACTGTGGGTCTGCTGCATGGATTTGCACAATATCCGTTTCAAAGGATTTTAGTTTGCATGCATCCTCTGTTTGTGTGTGGCTCGCTGAGTTCAGAGTTAACTCAGCCATGAAGTGACCCTGAGCATCATCTCCTGCAGTCACAGAAGTGCCACGTTCCTAATGTTAACAACCCACATCCAGTCTGCCTCGGCTCTGGCTCATTTGGACATTTTTACATTTGAAAGAATGCTAAAACCTGGTCAGGAGAGGCCTCACGTTTGTGGGGAGAAAGGTACAAAGTGCATCGCCTGCTTTGATGTTCTGCTCTGAGCCCAAACGCTTCCGCAGCCTCACGGGGAAGTCCTTCAAGGCTTTGAAGTTTCATTAAAAAGAAGAAACAAGAAAAATTGGTGGAGCACTCACCCATCGCTGCAGTTTGCTGGAGCAGCAGCCCACGTGTTGAGCGGTTTTGTTGCCAGGCAACAGCATACTGGATTGCGATTGGCTGGAGTTTGCCAGAGCAAGAGACGAGTGGGGCGTTGTGACTGGATTTCAGAGGAAGTCTGGCTGGTAGCTGGAGGACTCGGCATTATGCTAAAAACAGTGTCATCTCATGGCTTCCTGAGTGTGGTTTCGAGGCACCCGGAGGCCGTTTCTGGACTCTGACAGCGGTAGAAGCTGAGTGGCCTCTTCCATCACCCTGTACACATGTTAGCTTCCCCAATCACTGACTCTCTGAGCGTCTCCTGACTGGTGTGTGTTTATCCGCCAGCGCTGACTCTAAAATACCTCTGATCCCAGCACATCCATCCTCTAGCACTCCTCCAGCGACAGAGGCACTCTGGATTCATCTGCCACCCTGGCCCTGGAGCGGGACAGCCCCTCTCCCCTGCCCTGCCCCACCCCTCCACCTTCCCCTCCCCTCACACCAGGCCTGAATCCACATCTGTCCTTGCCAGCAGCACGCAGAGCACTGGAGGATGGAGAGGGAAAGGAGGAGGAGAGCGCTCACGGCGGTCAAGCCTCAGCAGATTCTTTCTGCAGGGTCATGGATCTATTTGGGATGGGACACCGACTCTTCGTCCCCAAACTGCTGGCGGTGAGATGAGGAGGATAAATAAACACAATGAGCATGACAATGGTTTTAGTGGTGCAGAAGTCTGACTCGTGTTGAAACAGTTAACTTCACTGGTTAACTCAACAACTCTGTTGTTTTCTTTTCTCTGCCCAGAAATGTTTAAATAATGTAGAAGTAAAAACATGAAACAACAGTGATCTAACTTAGAAGAGACTTTTGGTCCGAATAACGGATCTCACACACTCAGGACTTTTCTCTTCATACACTCTTGTGTCCAGGTGGCTTTACACCACTAGATGGTGCTGTTTCTGTGCTTGTATGATTAATCTAAACTCACTCGTTCATCTCCATATTAGCTAACACCATCATTTTAAACAATAACAGAAACCATTTTTGAGGGGATTGTGAAAAGCAAAAGCTGAGTTTGAATCTGATTTAGTGAACTTTGGAAACCAGTTTCCAGATATGTTTTTGTTTTTGTCGTCTAATTAGATGTTACTAAATGTATTAAATAGGCACGAAATAAGAGAATAATCAGAGACATTCTGTTGAATCATTCTACTGTTTGAATCCATTCTAAAAATAGAACAAGACATTTAAACATGAATCAACTACCAAGAATAATCACCAACTGTGTGTCACTCCTTATGAACATACGTTTATCTCCTCCACCACCTCACCTCCCTCCTCTTCATGTCTCCTAGACATCCAAAGAGGACCTCTTGCAGGCAGACTTTGAGGGTGCTCTCAAGTTCTTCAGAGTCCAGCTTCCTAAACGTTACAGAGCTGCAGAGAACGCACGGAGGCTCATGGAGCAGGCCTGCAACATCAAGGTAGGAATGGAGCGCTGCACACAAACGCCCTCCTCATTTCTTTTATATCTCATTATAGAACAGAACTGCTGACTTATCACACACACACACACACCCATTGAGGTTTTCTTTCTATTCAAAATGGAAAACAGATTAACAACTTCAAACATTTGACAGTGAATTGTTCATTTGTGTCTGACTGTTCTGAACCTTGGTCTGAAGATTCCAGATAAAACCCAGCTTCCACGGATGGTAGTGATAGTTTTCCTCAGAGCTCGTGAAATTCCTTTGGGCACGCTCGTTATCACGGAGCTGCTGACCTGAAGGAGGCGGCTGGCATTCAGGGAATTCGCTGAAGTCACCAGAGACTTAAATTGATACGGGTGTGTGTGTGTGTGTGTGTGTGTGTGTGTGTGTGTGTGTGTGTGTGTGTGTGTGTGTGTGTGTGTGTGTGTGTGTGTGTGTGTGTGTGTGTGTGTGTGTGTGTGTGTGTGTGTGTGTGTGTGTGTGTGTGTGTGTGTGTGTGTGTGTGTGTGTGTGTGTGTGTGTGATTAAGAAACAAACTAACTAAGATGGAGGTGATAACTGTCCTCACTCCACCCTGTTGTTTCCCTTATCTGTCCATGACTCTTTACATCCTGATATTTTAACATTTCTGTTTTTTTCTGATTAAACACTCGTTACTGAAACATGTAATAAATAAAGCTTTTTTTTTTTTTTTTTTTTTTGCTGTGAACATTAGTAGAGCGCATCATCCATGTGTGACATATTTCGGTGTTTACGCACAAACAGGATGTCCTGCACTGACTCACTCCTTATCTCTGGTAGAAGTCTGGCCTTCTTGCAAGATTTTGCAGAAACACAACTTACTAAATTTAAAGCTTGCAGTCACACACCGACAACAGCCCCTCTGCTCCTTTTTTGTGATGTGCGAACAATGTCTTCCCAGAAACATCTCCATAGCAAGGAGAGCTGCGGTATCATTAGGTGTGTAATAGTGTGTGACAGGAAACGGATGATGTTAGCCTGAAGGGCTCGTCTGATGAGGAGATGCAGCCTCTAGACAAACAAATGTTTTCTCATTTCTTCATCCTTCTGGTGCAGTATTGAAAGGACTGGTGTTCTTCAGTTCTCTTCTGAGATGTAAGACAATTCCTCCAAGATCACTTAATTAAATTAATCTGTTAGGTTGTTTTTTAGTCATTAAGGAGTTGTTAGCCATAGCTGCCTCCAGAGCTGTTTTATTTGGGGATGCTCAGTTTAAGAAGACATATTCTAACATTTTTTTAAACTTATAATAGTTCAATGGTTAATACAAAACATGTTTCTGAGGTTTTTTAACACATAATCAGTGCATCATAAAGCGATCTCAGTAGTTTCATTATTGACAGTTTCAGTACCTTCCAGAATGAGCCGTTTCAGGGCTTTAAAAAAACAAGCTGAAGCTGGCCACACCCACCCAACCCCTGATTGGTTGCTATCAGCTGAAACACCTGGGAGGGGCTCAGAGTAGAGTCACTGCTCTTCCAGCATCAAAGGGGGGGAGGGGGGCGTGTCTGATGCGTGACATCACATTAAAGGACTTTTTCAAACAACTTGTTTTAGGCACATTTTCCTGAAATCAAACACTAACAGAAAACAGATCTACAGGTCTGTATAGGCGGTAGAGTATGGAAGAAACAGTCTCACCAGAACATGACTTTTTTTGTTCTGTGAATTTTATAACTTAAAATATACCATTAAAACTTCATCTGTAAAAATTCAACATGAGAAATTCACCTACAAATGAGGTGACCTTGAGACCCAAGCCAAAGCAATCGTCACTCGATCGAGTTGAGTAGCTTCTAGCCAATCAATCGTGCTTCTCCGATCATGTGACACCAGTGAGGTGTTGACTTTATCAGGTGACGACCGCTTTGGGTCGCCAGGAGGTCACCACGTTTGTTGGAGAACTCCTGAAGTTGAATTTTTGCAGCTGAATCCTGACTCTTGAACTCTACCTTGAATGTGATCAGAAAACACACAAACACCTCAGGTCTTCTCCTTAAAAACACTCTTCTTTCTGCTGTGATATTTATAACCATGTCTGTAAAGTCTAACAATAGAATATTCCCTCACAGTTAGTCAGATGGAGATAAAAACAAACTTTTCATCAGACGCGTCCCATAAAACCACCTATCTTGTTAGTTATGTTTCACCAAGCATCTCCACACAGTTTGTCACATCTCATCTGAGAGGCTTTCACCGACGATCACATCAGATCTCAGATGGCCTTTTCATTTAAAAAGTGTAAATCTGAAGGAAGTTATGTCCGGTAAACAGATTTCACCCAGCAGTAAAGTAGCTCAGGCGGTCTGAATGATCACCACCAGTTACAGATGACATAGTTATTCATGGGTTAGGGTTGTTTGTACTGGGAGATGGTTGTAAATAAGCACCAAACCAGCTTGTCAGAGCTCCATTTCCTCCTCTCACTCCTCCTTTTTACATATTTCTCTCTGTCAGCGTTTCAGTCGGATCAGCCCAACTCCATAAGCAGCTTAAAGCAGCAGAAGAATTCCACGGCACCTTAGCTCCATGAGCACAACGGGCAGCCGGGTGGCTTAGGCTTTCTGGGGATTTTGGGGGAGAATTTGAATTTTTCTGCCTTCTTAAGCGTCCACTGTACCGTCAGCTGGAGCGCCGGCTTTAAGAACGAGGAGAGGAAATCGTCACATAATCATTTGCAGCTCAGCGGTTGAATTATTAATCTGGGTTTTGTCAAATTCCTTCATCTGCACACGGTTTTTAGGTTTTCAGATGACGAATCGTATAAACTCTAAAATGTTTTGTTTGATACCACTAATAAACAAGTGCTGCTGACGTTATTAATCAATCAAATCAAAGACTGAATTGTTTTAAGAACCAGATAAAACTGGTCTCGTGTTTTGGGAAACATTAGAACAAGGAGGGACCGCAGTGACTCGTGTCCTTTTCTATTGCACAGGTTTAAGAAAAAAAGGTTCATTTTGTTGCTACTTTAAAATTTAATTCACATTTTCAAATAGAAATGCTCCTTATTCTTACTAGAGCTGTTAAATATGCAATAACCAGATCAGTTTAAGCGTTTTTATATTTAAAACTCACATCGGAAGGCTTTTATAGGCAACGTTTAATTAGTTTCTTATTAATTTGTCATTATCCAGATAAATCTGACTTTACCTAATAAGGGAAAAAATCGATGTCAGTTAAGGACTAAATGATAACTGCGGTAAGTTAATGACTGTCTGTAAATAGAAGGGATTTACTGTCAGGGATCCTTCAGGATGACAACAACATTCAGGCTTTTTATGTTAAATTTCTTCCGTTCTTGAATTTGTTCTCGCTCGACTTCCTGGCGTGACGTGAGCGAGGTGTAACTGAAGCCTCTGCGGTCGATCTGACTACTTCCTTCCTATCTTAACCACAAACACACTCACACACAGAGTTGAACTGTGCAAACAAGCTTTTATCTTTATTTTCTACTAGCAGCAGGAAATGAAATAAAAAAAAACTGAACTTCAACGTAAAAAAGAGTGAGAGGGATTAAAGGAGGGAGGAGCACAAAGGAGAGGGAGCGGAGAAGGAAGTGTTCGCTGGAAAAGAAGAAAAAGCAAACTCATCCTGCTTTGTCACACACTTCTAGCGTTACAGAGAGAGAGGGAGAGACAAACAGGTGTGTTGTCTTGCTTCCCTCCTCTCTCCTCCTCCTCCTCCGTCTCAGTGGGCGTGGCTCAGCTCCGGCTCGTGAAAGCAGCCAGTCGCCTCCTCTGCTGTCAGAGAGGAACAAAAGCTCTCCGCTGCACTCCTCTTCTCTCCTTCCTCCCCACGATCCCTCCTCCTCCTTCATTCTCTCCTCCTCTTCGCTGCTCGGAGGAGCCAAGATGATGCAGGAGGTGTCCATTATGGTGGCCTACGATGCTCATGTGGTGGAACGTCCCGGTGAGGAGGACACCTTGGCTTGCTTGGTCGCTCATTCTAAACCACTCAGAACTCCCAGACCTGCGGTAGGTCTGCCCTCCCGTCACCCTGGTTACTTATTCATTTTTACTTGTCTTGCTTTGCTGCTGCTTCCTCTCATGTGACTTGCAGTTTTTAATCTGATGCTGATGGCTGCCACTTGTTCTCTGATGCTGATAGTTGGATTTTTACTCATTAACGGTGGCGGAAAATACGTTTTGACTGGAGATGCGTGGTTCCTTCCATGCAGTTGATGCTGCCCACTCGTGAACATGTGGGTGAGCGATGTGCCACTTCTGGAGAATTTTCTGACTTTTGAGTGTCAGACATGTACTCGTGTTGCTGTCAGTGTGTGCATGCGTGCGTGTACTTGTGTGTGTGTTCCCCTCACGTGGGTAATTTAATTCTGTGGCCTAGTTTTCTCCAAATGTCCACTTGGCTTTATTCTTATTTTAATATTCAAACTCCGGGCCGTCTCCACGTGTGTTTGAGCAGCTCACCCTTTACTTCACTCTACACACACGCAAGTAAGCATCATGTATGTGTGTTTAACTCATAGGTAGTGACCTCCACTTAGAGGTTTGGGACCAGTTCCATTTTCTGCTGCATGGATTCAGGTCAGCGAGCTAAAACTGGGCCTGATACCATTCCCCGCAGAACCTTTAATTGCATTTTTTAAATCTGACCTGATCTTTTTCTGTCCTCTGGCCTCTTGGACTAGGAGGGGGTGTGAATTTTTCTAACAATACTCTGGATTAAAGGGATATCCCACTCCTTAGTGAAAATTAGTATATTGCTAAATTCCTCAGAGTTGGATAGCCCAGCCCACTCATTCTCCTAATCTGGCAGTATTCTGTTAGCTTTAGCTTAACAGTGTGAGTAAATGGTTACAGTTAGCATTTTGTGTGGAAAAAGTCATGATCAGTACTCAGTAATGATCCTAATTATTCATGGTGACCTAAATAATCACATTGACTGCAAATGAAAATAATTAACATGAGTAAATTACAGTAGCCGACTTGACAAAGCACCGCTGGCAGAAGCTAGGCTACCACCGATCCCTCAGACCACCACCAGCAGCGTTCTCATGCGAGAGCCGGGATCGATCCCACAACCCTCTGATTACCGGACAACCCGCTCTACCTCCTGAGCTACTGCTACCCCTCACGTCTGTTTTTAATACATCCAGATCAACTATAAACAACCTTTGTAGTCGTTTTGCAGGAAGAATTATGCTTTGCTCCTAACTGTTTACAGCTGCTAACTCACCCATCAGAAGTTTAATCGCTACATTACTCATAAAAAACTAATGATCTAGCAAACACAAGCCTTCCCACGTCCAGTAGCGTCAGCATATTAGAGAAGGAGGTTAAAAACTGAAGATTATCTGTGGTTTTAACAGGAAGGTGTGTTTGAATTACTGTCAGACCATCTCAGTTTTAGGTTGCGCGTCGTTAAATGGTGTTTGTGTGTTTTAGGGGTGTTGGTGAGCTGCCGGTTTTACGATCAGCAGCTATTTTCACGCTTGTCTGTAGTTTCATCATTAGAGTTTTATTAAAACCACAAGAAAAACAAACAAACTGAAACATTGCACAGTACTACTGAATGAGATGGGGGCTTTGGTTGGGGAGGAAAGAAAATATAAAGGCTTTCATACATTTTTCAAAATAAAAGTTAAGTGAAGTTTGATTCAAGCAGCTTTTTATTGGCAAGAAACACTTAAAAATTAAACAAATGCAACTTTTCTTATTATCAATGCAAACTTTGGGGAATTCTACCGTTTTCCTGGTGTGTTTGTGAGGAATTGCAGTAAATGAGTAGACGATGAAGCCAGAAGTAAGTGAGCTGAGAGGGAAGTTGGGGTGTAGATTCTGTTTTGTCATGTTTTATTTCACCACAGAAACTGAATCCTGATTAAGAAACAACTTCAGCTCATCTCTAAGGATCTTCAGCTCCAGTTTCTCTGTGAGCGTTCCCGTTCTTGAGTTGCAGCAGCGGTGCTGTTATAGTAAAAATGTCCTTTTGCTCTCTGACATTTAAATAAACACCAACAAACAGATGCTTTGTTGTTGAAAATCATTTATATTCCAGATACTTTCTAGGGAATTCTCAGAAAGGGACTAAAGGATGGTGCAGATCTAACCTGCTAACCTGCCTTCAGATATGCTCTTCCTCTCCACCGGAACGTTACAGGAGTGATGATTAACCTGCCAGCAGGGGCCGAGCTGCTCGTTCTCTACCAGATAACAGAAAGAATCTGAGTTCTGCTGTCGCCGCTGAGGAATTGTGTGTCAGCTACACCATCCATGGTGTTTACCCACTTTAGTGGCTTTTGTCGTGAGTTGTTAAAGACGGCGATGATGTCACAGGTCATTCTTTAGGACAGGTAACAGGTGTTCCTGGGAGTCTGTAGTGGTCTGCTCTAAATCTCAGACCCCTTTCATTCATTATAAGCTGTTTTTGTTACGAAAATACCAAATAAAGGAGGAAATGTTTTGTTTCCTCCAAACAAAACTAAGGTTCTCCATCAGATTGGTTCTGGTTTTATATCACACCAAGTATGAACAAACATAAGGAGCCACTCTCAGAGGAGAGGTCATGTGACTTGAAGCCCCAAACCCTGATAGTGGGCGCTATGGCAACGCTGTTTCCACGTAGGGGAGGTAACTCTACCAGCTACCTGAAGCAGGTGAACACAAACAGATGAAGGGAAAAAAATAGGCGTGTTTGGATTCATTTTTACTTCATGTCTAATAAAAGTTATGGTGAGTCCTAGATAACGTGATGAATCCTTCATGTATGGAAGACTTCATTATTTCACCTCTTTAGACTCTGTTTTCAGACGGTTTCTTCTTTACTGAACAAAACTAACATTTTGAATCTGCTTTGTTGAATCATTAAACTACAGAAGACAAAAGAATCAGCAGACCCAACAGTAACACACAAACACTGGAATGATCAGTTTTTATTGCAGCTGTTTAATCAGTTACATTTTAGTCGTGCTTAATGAACATGTTCCTGCCAGCTGTGGGTTAATTTACCATCTGTGAATCGTGACCATCAGCCCACCTCAGCTCACGCTGGGCTTCCATCTCAGGAGCAAATGAGAACGGGTTCTCGGTCAACTCCTCGGGTTAAATAAATCAAATAAATAAGGTTTACAGCGACACGTTGGCCACAGTGCTTACAGGAAATGACATTTCTGACAAAGTTAGGAAATCTTTCAGAATAATCATGACTTGATGTTTGACAAACACTTTAACGTCCTGTTAGTAAAGCCCTTTAGCTGACCTCTGACCTTTTGTAAAGGGTCACTAGTGTCTGCTAAGCTGCAGAGGAGGGGCCGGTACCCAGACACGGAGCTGTTCAGCCTCTAATAAACACACATTAACACCATGAGACATGACCTTTAATCATTTAAAACAACTTAGTTTATGATTTTGTTGTTTTCAGGTTCCGACCAAAAAGCTGAAGAAGTTTGAGAAGGAATATCAGAGTCTGAGAGAGAGCCAGCTGCAACAAGAAGACCCGATCGGCCAATTCCAGGTGCACACACACACACACACACAGTGCTCACCTGTAAGCCTTTCCTCCTCCAGGAAGCATCCAGTGATATTTTAAATTCTGTTTAAGGTAAATAAAAATAGAGAAGTCATTTTTCCTCCACAATTTGCTCTAAAAAGTATTTTTGGTAAAATTGATGTTTCTAAAATTAGAAATCTCTTGTGAGAAAAGCTTTGTCTTCTCAAATAAATCTGTCAGCTGAGTTTTATTTAGCTCGTCTTCATATGACACCAAACAGGAGAGGTGAGGCAGGTATTTATAGGAGGGAAACGGATTGAAACACACACACACACACACACACTTCATCTGCTCTTCATCATATTTTATCCCTGCTCAGTATTAATGTCACACACACACATTTAATTGTCTACTTTTTGATGCATGACGGAAGTTTCTTTGATGCACCAATTAAATTCGGTTCGGAAATGTAACAGAATGAAATGACTGTTTTCTACCAAAAGTCATTTCCCCCTCTCCTCTGACACAGAACTAGTCTGACTCTGCATGAGATATGGCTTCAAGGTCTCATGCATTTGCTTCTAAACTGCTTCTTTCCAGCTCAACAGAAGAATGAAGAATGGACTCTCTCCTTTTAATAAATCAAAGAACTCTATTTTTAATAAAGCTAATCAAACAGTTAGTCAATAATAAGATGTGACCAATCTGTGAAATCAAAATATTAAGTACTTTATTATAATCCTATAGAATATAATAAGTAATATGACTTTAAATGTTTCCACTAGGACTGATCTCATGTAGCATTAAGACATGACACATTGTTTCACTGATCCAATCAGAATCCGCCAGATCTGACGGAGGCGTGGTTTTGGTGGTGCTTGGTAAATCTGTCACCTTTTCATTCGACCAGAAACCAAAACATCCGAAGTATAAAACTATGCCCACGTCATCTCTAACGCGAGTTCAAGGCGTTCTAGAGAAGTGACGGAGTGGCCAATCCGTAACTTTCCTCTTCAGCCAAAAGAACCAACGACAAGCCGGATAAAATCTGTTGCTGTTCCAACTGCTGCAACGGTTCCTTTCAGAATAAAAGCTAAACCATCACGACCCAGTTTTGGGTCTCTAGATGCCAACAAAACTGTCGTGACCCGGAAGTATCTCAAAGACTGGTCGGCAACCGCTGCTTTTCTTACTGGCTTCGGTTCCAGAGAGGGTCAAGCTGGACCTCAACATTCCTGATCTAATGGGGACTTCCAAAAGGGTATGTAGGCCGACAGAATGGCGTCGAATGTGTTTATGAATCTCCAAATCAAAGCTTAGCGCGAAGACATCACCTTCATTTCCCACCAGAACTAATCGTTTCTTCGGATTTGCTGGTTCTGAGCAACATTCCACACTACACCATTCTCCGTCTCATTCACCTTAGTTACACCATACATTTAGTGTTTAAAAGGGCATTATGGAAGTTTGACAGCCAAAACATGTATAGAAATAATAAATATCTTCTTCATACATTCTCCTGCAATGCCCTGGTCCTGTAGAATGAGCCCTGGCATTTTTACTGTGATTGCCTGTTTTTCTGTAAAATCACAGAAAAAGAGAGATGCTCGGGTCGAGCAGGCTGCTTCATGCGCGTTCATGCTCAGGCATCGCCCGTAGCATTTGCTATCCATAGCTTTAGCAGCAGAGAGAGAGGCAGTGCCAACTCAGTGACTTTGTTGCTGTTCCTAACGCCTAGTGATGAACCTAGCTACATTTCTGAGGAACCTTAGCTACTTTCTGTAGAACTTTCTTCTAGATATTTCCTGCAAATTAGCAACAAAATAGCCATTTTCGCTTTGAACCGTTCTTTGGTTTGACGTTGTTTCAGCTGTCATCAAGGATATAAAAGTTATAGATGCTGTAAATGTTATTAGAGTGTAGCTCACCTTGTAAGATGTCTGACTCCCATGTAGATGAACCGGGTTTCATTCTGGATGTGAACATAGTTTATTTAGAGTTTCTATTTTACATTAATTGTATATTCTTTACAGTAAGATGCCCAAATTTTTATTTGAGACTCGCCGAACGGCATTGAATTCACAGATAAAAAAGACATGGGTTCAACTTTCATTTTGGAACAATTTTTCAAGCAAGGGAAGGGAATGATCTGAGCATGCAGGAGGACTGAACCATCGTAAACCTTTGTCGGCTGTGCTGAAGAGAAAGGTACAGAACCAAATTATTTAATTAATTAGCTGCGTGTTCTCCTGTCCTCTGTCCTCCGGGCCACACACACACACCCACACACACACACACACACGGGACTGTCTAAGCTGTTTTTTTCGTTAAGGAGTGTGCACGTACAGCATGCGCGCCTCGTGCACGAGCCTACTATTGAAGCTGCCAATACGCTTTTGGCCTGAGGGGGGCAATCACGAGCATAAAAATTCAAAAGTCCGTAAAGTCCCTTTAAAGTTAGTCTAGTTTTAATTTGTTAGTAATAAATCTTTTAAACTTTTAAACTTGACTCTCTCTTCTGTTGTCTCTGAGTTAATACGAAGCTGTTACCTAATCCCTGCAATAAAAAATTCCAATCTTCTGGTTAAACAGTACCCACAGATCCTTAAGGTTGATTTCATATTTATTTTGGAATCCTGTGTCTTATGGCTCATAAAATAACATGTCAATTAAACCATTACAGAAATAAAAGATAAAAATAGTCTGACTTTTCCATTTGCTGCAGGTCTGAGGAGGACTTTTAGGGTCAGAACTGGTAGATGATCACAGGCTGTAAAGCTAAAGCCATCAGCTTATTTTGCAGAGTGAATTATGGGATGTTTCTGATCTGAAGTGTTTATTAGCAGGAAAGGGTTGTTGGTGATAAATGCTGAAGGTGTTTTAACTGGATCAAACGTTTTCCATCAGCTGATTAACAAGAAAGATGTTCTGTCTTTAACTAAATAAATGTGTGGATTTAAAGGATTTCATGGCTTAAAATGCAAACAGGTAACTTTTTGTTTGTTTAATAAAGTAAATCAACAAGTTAATTATATTTTTTTAGCTTAAACCTGATGAAAACCATTTCTAGTCCTTTTATCCTATAAAGTCAGACGTGTTGGGGACTGAACGGTTGGATCTGGAAAGGAGGAAGGAAGGAAGACTTGAGTTGTAGATAAGATGTTGGACTTGACCGAGCCGCCCTACCCAGAAGGGAAAGCAGGGTTTTTTTAGAACAAGAGAACAAAAACCAGGATTTCTGCTGCTTGTTATGGCGTACGCGTTTAATTCAGGGATCAACTTTTATGCCTTTATATTTGGGATTTAGGTACGAGTTTTGTCTTGTTTTGTTTGTGGCTCGTGTTTTTATTCGTAGATGTCTCTTCAAGGCTCTAAAACAAAGGAGAGGAGGGCAGAGGGAGGAAAAGGGTCAGACGGGAAAGTGAAACAGTCGTTTAGTTCAGGTCTGTGGAGGTTTTTTATAAGGACGGCGTCAGGCTGCTTCTGTCAGATTTTCTTTCAGCTTTTATTTTGATTCGTTTTGTAGTTTTACAGGATCAGCTCTTGGGTGAGACTTTTATTTTTATGGAGATTATTTTATTTCATTATCCGACTAATATAACAAAAGTAGCTCAGGTATTACGTACATTTACCTAATTAAAGTGATAATAAATTTATTAATAGTGTTTAATTTAAATCAAACTACAGAGAAGGCGGGTTCTGGACAATCCTGGATTGCTGTCTCTACAGGCTTTCCCTAATCTTATTTAATCCCTCAGAAAATGTGAAGTTAGCAGTGTTGTAGGAGTTTCATGTTTATGTCTCACAGCTGTTAGACAGGCTCAGAATTACTTAAATAAAACTTGTTTTCATGCTAACTGCATGTGTGTGTGTGTGTGTGTGTGTGTGTGTGTGTGTGTGTGTGTGTGTGTGTGTGTGTGTGTGTGTGTGTGTGCGTGCGTGCGTGCGTGCGTGTCCGTGCGTGTCCGTGCGTGCGTGCGTGTGTTCATGAGGATGGTTTTTATAACTGCTGAAGCACGAGAAAACGTCATGGTTGTTAAAAAGGATCCGGATATCAGGGTCAGATGAGCTCTGGTTGCCATGACAACACCTGTGTGTCATGAATGGACATCATGTGGAACCGTTTACTGTCTGAATGGTTGTCATGAGACAAGAGGCCACAGAGAGGACTTTAGATTAGGTGTGTGTGTGTGTGTGTGTGCGTGCGTGCGTGCGTGTGCGCGCGTGCGTGCGGGTGCACATCTGGGTGTGGAGGGGGAGGGCAGGTTTTGGTCCCCTGAGCTGCGTCGCAGTAACAAGTGTGTGTGTGTGTGTGTGTGTGTTGTGTGCAGAGAGAGAACCGCCGTCTTCAGGAGGCCAGTATGAGACTGGAGCAGGAGAACGATGACTTGGCACATGAACTGTTCACCAGTAAGATTGCCCTCCGGAACGATCTGGACCAGGTAAAACAGAATCCAGGCTGTAATAGATACCTCTACTTGTCTGTCCGCCCGTTTTCACTCGCTCATCCAGGTCCGGGTCATGAGGGTAGCAGCCCCAGCAGAAAGGCCCAAACCTCCCTCTCCAGTAACCTCCACCAGCTCCACCAGTGGGATCTCCTGGTGTTCTCTGGCCAACATGGAGACATAATCCCTCCCGCGTCTCCTGGGTCGACCCGGGGGCCTCCTGCTGGCGGGAGGTGTCCAGGAAGCGTTCTGATCAAATGCCCAATCCACCTCATCTCCACATGGAGGAGCAGCAGCTCTGCTCCGAGCTCCTCACCCAACTCCCTGATTATAATTTATCACCCTCAGTTAAAGGGCAGCATCTTCTCCCAACTTCTGACTGTTGTGTTATTTGTTTTGCTGTGTTATAACCTGAGATTATAATCCTTATAGATTATTTTAGTGATCTTGTCTAACTAACCCCCGACTGGTGTGTGCACTCAGGCAGAGGACAAGGCAGATGTTTTGAACAAAGAGCTGCTGAGCACCAAGCAGCGGCTGGTGGAGACCGAGGAGGAGAAGCGACGACACGAGGAGGAGACGGCTCAGGTAACACTCCTCCTCCTCCTTCGTTAAGATCAGCTGTGGAGCTCACTGAAGGGTCTCACTGGTTATAGGAAAGGTTTACAGTCAGTCAGACGTCCGTGACTTTATTCACCTTCTGCCAAAGGAAGTCCGAACCCTGTTCATTCAACGTTAAAGTCCCATAGTCATCATCACACACTGGTGAAGTTCATCTCAGCATTTAACACATCCCCATGGAGGGGAGAGGTGAGCTGCAGCAGTGGCTGCGCTCGGGAACTATTTGGTGGTTTAACCCCCCAATCTACAGTGATCCCTCGCTACTTCACGGTTCGTTTATCGCAGATTCACGACTTTGCGGATTTTTTCTTTGGAGCCTTATTCAAGGGAAATTTGCCGATTTGCTGTATTTTTCACCGATTCGCAGTATTTTTCTATGCGAAATATCAAGAAATTCCTGTTTTTTTTTTCATCAATTTCATCATAAAATGCACTTTTTGTAATAAAACTATAAAAAAAACAAGTAAAAATACAGTACTTTGTAAAGGGAGGGTTTTAAAAGTCTGAATACTGAATACGTACCTGTTAAATAAATACTGTAAATATGGTGTCCCTACTTCGCGGATTTTCACCTATCGCGGCCAGGTCCGGAACGCATCTACCGCGATTAACGAGGGATCACTGTAACCGCTTAAAGCTGAGTGTGAAGCAGGGAGGTGTTGGGTCCCATTTTTAAAGTCTTTGGTCTGACCCGACCAGGAATCGAACCTCGATCTCCCAGTCCCAGGGCAGACACTCCACCGGGCCACTGAGCTGAGCATCATTGTTATGTTAAAATATATGGCGGATAATATGTAGGATATCCTCACTTTTTAACAGTTTTATAAACTCACGGTTTATACCAAAACGTCTGCTGATTTAATTACCGGTAATTCTACTAAAAACTTGTAAAATATGTTTACATGCAGAATGCATTTATTTAAATAAAAAACAGATTTTCTCCTGAACTGGACAGGGTTACAAGATTTCATATCTATAATCTGACAAATAAACAAAACAAAACAAAACACTAAATCCTCCCTGATGCACCAGATTATGCATTTTTTATCTAACTTTTTACATTTAGATCAGAATGGTGATTCAGGTGGTTTATCAAACGTCTGAAACATGAAAAATGGCTGCTCGGATGTCAGGAGTGTCTTCGTGTTTTTATTTCTCATACCAGGAAATACTCATTTATTTGGAACAAAATAACTTAAATTAATTTCATTACTCCTAGAAAGTTCATTCTGAGCTGTCTATTAGACAGTTTAATAGAAGATCTCACGAATACACAGAAAAACACACTGAGACTGGAGGACATTGGTCCTAACTGAGTTTCTTTCACCTTAAAAATGATAATTTACCTTATTAGATGAATAACTTAAAGAGTGGTGGTCCTGGTTCAATGTAGCTGATAAAGTTACTTTAACCCTCCTTGTTTATTCAGCAGCTGATCGTCTTTGTCTTCCTGCAGCTGAAGGAGGTGTTCAGGAGAGAACTGGAAAAAGCCGAGCAGGAGATCAAGAAAACCACAGCAATCATATCCGAGTACAAACAGGTACTAACTCCGTAATCTGTCAGAAAGTGAGCTGGACGTCTCATCTGTTTGAAGCTCAACTTCCTGCTTCTGCTTCAGATCTGCTCCCAGCTCAGCACCCGGCTGGAAAAGCAGCAGGCGGCAACAAAAGAAGAGCTGGACATCGTCAGGGTGAGATTACGCCGCTGATCGGAGTTGTGACACAACTGGGATTTTATGGGCTGTTTTTTGGTTCCCAGTCGCGTTAGGCAGCGAGACGAGTCCAGGTTTGTTCATCGTCACACCCAGAAGGAGCTCCGCCACACAAATAATCCCACACGAGTGTTTAGTCTTTGTCAAACAGGCCTTGTTGCTCGTTGTGGGTGTGGTGGAGGATCTGTTTTATTCCATTCTAATTACTGTGTGTTGCAAGAGTGCTTGACAATAAAACAAGAGGTTATAACTGGACTGAATCACAGACGCCAATCAGAAGTCAGATTTGAGACGCAGAACAAGTTTTATATTAAACACACGTGATGTTTACAGTATACACTCACCCGTCGTGTTTTCCACTAACAGAACAAAGTGATGGGGTGTGAGCGCTGCAAGGATCTGTTCAGCACCCTGGGGTCTCTACAAGCTTCCTCCCCCGGCGGTGAGAGGACGTCCAACCAGCCTCTGGATGAGGAGAAGGACGGGCTGACGGACCAGCTGAGACAGCTGGAGCTGGAGCTAGCGCAGACCAAGCTGCAGCTGGTGGAGGCCAAGTGTCGAATCCAGGTCAGCAGAGCTGAAGTGGTGTTTATACGTTCACACCAATCACACAAACTCATGCAGGAGTTTCCTACAGAAAGTGACATTATTTAGGATCACTTCCTAAACACCAACTTTAATCCAATAATTTAACTTTTTCCGCTCTAATACCATGAAACATTTATAGAAGTAGCTCATTTCTTTAAAAACTCTTTCCTGTGTGCGTGTGTGTGTGTGTGTGTGTGTGTGTGTGTGTGTGTGTGCGTGCGTGCGTGCGTGCGTGCGTGCGTGCGTGCGTGCGTGCGTGTGCACGCAGTTCCACCCACAATCATCCGTGTTCTCCTTCCTGTTTCCTGCAGGAACTGGAGCACCAACGAGGAGTCCTGATGACTGAAATACAAGCTGCCAAAAACTCGTGGTTCAGCAAGACTCTGGGGTCCCTGAAGAGCTCGGCCTCCTCTTCCTCCAGCTCCTCGTCCCAGACGCCGTCCTCTCCGAGGGACGGGCCGGCCTAGCTGGACCTCCCTCCCTCTTAATCCCCAGCAGGATGCACACTAGAGCTGAGCAACACAAGCTGAAGAAACTAGCAGAGGGGATGCAGTATTCCTTTGGTTAGGAGGTGGGAGAAGGGGCGGGATACGGGAACAGCTGCCTGTCCTCCAGACTGTCAAGTGTCCGTTCAGCTTCTCTGCTTCACAGCTGCAGAGACAGCCGAGAGTAAGCATGACTGAGAGTGAAGTTAGTTTATGCATCAGAAACTCTGGATTACAGGTCAACTAGCTCCCCCTAGTGGACATCTACTGCAGTTACAAAACTCATTTCATCCCACAAAATGATGTTTTCTAATATCTGATGAATCAACCTGCCTCTATTTTCACAGATGTAAATAGATATGAATCATCACAGAGGTCTTACACACACAAACATCTTCAGCTCAAAAATGACCCCTGCCCTCTGAAAAAGGAATACTGCACCCCGTAGACAACAAGAGCGTCACAGAAGTTGCAATTCTTTATAGTAATATAACATAAACAATGTTGTTATATAAATATGTATAACTAATTAATAATTTTTTATTATCTTGTACAGTTGTTTAAGAGGAAGAAAAGAAAAGTTCTTATATTTCTTTTGTACTGTGTGGATTTTGATGTTGCGCGCGGCGTCAGCTGGTCCGGTCCAAAGGCCGAGGGTCCAAAAAGTGACGACCTGCTGAGATCTTTAAATCTTTAATCATTAACATTTTTACTAATTATTTTATGTCGTAATTTATGCCAAGCACTAATTGTAGGTTTTGTTTCCTCTGTTATTAGAAAGCAGGTCAGGTCTGACCAGATGAAGCAGAAAGGTTTAATTCACACAAGATTCTCACGATTGCAGCACGTGTTAACTCTGGTTTCAGCTCCAGAACCAGTGAATGAAACATCCCTGTTGTTCTTTAACTCCACAGCTACTGAAGCAGTCCCGACACCATAAACCACATCTGTTACTGCACCATCTAGAAGCATCTCTTAAAACATTACACATCACCGGTTCCACAATAGCTCAGTTGTTGCCGAAAAGTTCTGAAACCCCTTGTGAGTTTGTGTCAATGCTTGTTTTCTTGTTTCTTTTTAAGGATGCTGATGCTTTAAGCCTGATCTAAATCCTGATCTAAACCACTTTAAGATGCATCGGGGTCACATTTAGTAACATTGTGAAATGAACAGCAGATGGCTTCAGAACAAACAAGCACATATTTTTATATTTTCATTTTAAAATACAAAGAAAAATGTTTTTAACTTAATTCTTCACTTGTTTCATTTGTTGAACCTAAAGGAGACTAGGAGGATTTTTGTAGCCAAAAGCAGCATTCTTATTTTAGTTTAGCTGCTTGCTGCTGTTTTGTTGTCTCTGGTTTACACCAACATCAGCCTTTGGACTCGGACCAGTCGTGTGTTTCTGCAATGCATACGTATGAAGGGGAATGGTGTCTTCTTCACTCTGCTGCCTTTTCTGTTGATGACTGAAGTGGTCGGCTGAAGAGAGAAAGGCCATCTGCCTGTTTGAGAGCATCACCTGTGCCATAAGAGCCCATCCACGCACACACACACACTTTGCCATCTCCCTCTCCATACCAACCTGCTGTTCCATCTTTAAACTGTTTGCTGGATATTCTTATTTCCATCTATAAAGTTAAAAAACAGCTGTTTTTCAGTGATTGTTCAGGTGTTTTCCTGTTCCAGGGCGTTGTTGAGTTCAGTCTAAACTTACCATGTTGAGAGCGTTCCTCTTGTCATGTGCACCAACATTGTTAAACACTATTTAAGGGTGTGTCTGTTGCAGTTATTCATTTTTAGCTGATGACTGTTGCAGAACGTACAGCTGCCAGTTAATAATCCACTCTAATTCAGTTGATGTCATTGATGCAGAAGCAGCTGAGGAGGCAGATTAAAGGTGTTGTGTATTTTGTTGTAACACCTCCGTCCTGTTACGCTGAGAGGGACTGTAACAAGCCTGCTTTAATAAACCTTAGTTCTGGTCATTCAAGCATTCTGAGTTATTAAATAAGCACAAAAGCAGAAGTTTGAATTGTTTCTGACTAATTAAAACACAGCAGAAACTCATGCAACATGTTTTTATTTAACAAGGAGATTTTCCCATGATCACAGATTCTGTTACTGAACATCTGAACATCACACAAACATGCTGATTAAATGTGAATAAGTGAGATCAGGAAGTTGTTTGAGCTTAATGATGTGATTAGTCAACCTTCATTAACTGGAGACTGAAAGAGACGCGAACATAAATATCAGATGCTTTCCAATTCATCTGAGAACATTTAACCAAATTTTACATCAAATCACAACAAGTGCCCAGTACAAGCAGCCATCCACCACGACTCACTGGGGATCGAGATCAACTCCAAATTACAAAATATTTGTATTTAACAAAATCCGCTAAACTTTTTGAAACAAGAAGCTTGGAAAAACTTCCCAGCATTCCTAGGAACACCATGAACTCCAATAGAAACCCACATCAGAAAAACTGATGTAGCTGATAAATGTTGAAACTACAATTCGATTTAATCAAAGAAAATGTGTTTGAATATCTGAACATGCCGTTCCTCAGTTTATCACCGACTCTTAATCCTTGGTTTCTTCGTTGCTCAGTCGGTCACTGAGCTCGTCAAAGAAATTATCAACAAAGCGAAGCATCTGGATGACGGCGCTAAGCAACAGGATGTCACATTTCATGTCCAGCTCCAGCTCTTCGCTGTAGTTCTTCACTGGAACGATGCAAGACAGCGGCACACCGAGTCTGGCGCTGACCTCCTGCATCTGGATCAGAGGAGGTCAGTTGGGTTGGTTACACGACAGACTAGATGCATTTATTGTGAATGTAATCGTTACCATGTCCTTGATGTCTCCACTCTTATAGATGTTCGTCACATCTTCTTTCACCAAAGGACAGGCTTCGTCTACTTTAGTGAGCAACACCAGCTGAGGAATTCCTACAGGCGCCAGGAGACAAAACATTCCAGACTTTTGAAACTTTTCCTGGAAGTAAAGTAAATGTAGAAATGTTATACTGACCCAACAGGTTGACCTTTCTGCGGATAGTTTCCAGCTTCTCCTCCAGCTTTGTGGACATAATGGAGATCTTACAGGCATCAATAACATAAGCCACACAGTGGATCTTGTCTTTCAGAACAGGAGACTTGCGATAACATTGAGCTTCTGAATTCAGAGGAACAGCAGGGTTGAACTGCAACGGAGAGAGAGAGAGAGAGATTATTTGAAATGAATCTGGTCTAACTCTTGATCAATCTCAGTTAAGCATCACACCTGGTAACGGTCAGGCATGTGACCTTTGAGGATGCTGCTGACGTCTTCTACATCAAGCCCCGCCCCTTTGCCTTCTTCCAGTCCCATGGTATCGCACAAGATGATTGGCAGAGGTTTGCCTTCTCGTCCAGCCTTCAGAGTGTAGGTTCGAAACTGTAGAAAGAGATGCAGTAACATGAACGTTCTAACCTGAAGTAGAAGTAGTGAGGCAGAGACAGACCTGTGTGGTGAGGCTGGTGGAGGCACAGCCAGATATGGCCTGGTTGGTGACGTGGCCTCTGAATACAGAGTTGATGGAGTTAAAGAAGCTGGACTTTCCAGCTCCGACCGGTCCGATCATCAGAACCCGAGCCTGAGACACAGAATGGACTGTGGGTTTGTAGGTTTTAATGCTCTCCATCAGCTCCTTCTTAGTCCTAAACAAAGAAAAACAGGAGCTAATTCTCTCTTGACCGGTGCTAACCTGACCTAACACTTATTAGTATCAGAAATCAGAAAAGCTTTATTTGTCCCAGAGGGAAATTAGAGTTTCAGTACACAACAAGAATTGGTGACTGTGGTCATTCGCAACCCGGGTCGCGCTACCTTATACCTTACATATATATGTATATATACATATATATACATACATATATGTATACATATATATATATATGTGTATATACATATATATGTATACATATGTCTATGTATGTATATATACATACATATATACATATACATACATATATGTATACTTATATATATGTATATATACATATATATATACACGTATATATGTATATATATATATATATATACACATATATATAGATATAAATATATATATACACATGTACATATATGTATACATATATATGTATGTATACATATACATATATGTATATATAAAAAACTCATATCAAAGCTGAATGTTTTTGGAAGTAGTTTTTAGTTTTAGCTATTTTAGGGGGATATCTGTGTGTGCAGGTGACTATTACTGTGCATAATTATTAGGTAACTTAACAAAAAACAAATATATACCCATTTCAATTATTCATTTTTACCAGTGAAACCAATATAACATCTCCACATTCCCAAATATACATTTCTGACATTCAAAAACAATACCAAAACAAATCAGCGACCAATATAGCCACCTTTCTTTGCAAGGACACTCAAAAGCCTGCCATCCATGGATTCTGTCAGTGTTTTGATCTGTTCACCATCAACATTGCGTGCAGCAGCAACCACAGCCTCCCAGACACTGTTCAGAGAGGTGTACTGTTTTCCCTCCTTGTAAATCTCACATTTGATGATGGACCACAGGTTCTCAATGGGGTTCAGATCAGGTGAACAAGGAGGCCATGTCATTAGTTTTTCTTCTTATATACCCTTTCTTGCCAGCCACGCTGTGGAGTACTTGGACGCGTGTGATGGAGCATTGTCCTGCATGAAAATCATGTTTTTCTTGAAGGATGCAGACTTCTTCCTGTACCACTGCTTGAAGAAGGTGTCTTCCAGAAACTGCTGTAGGACCAGTACTCCACCTTGCTGGCGTCTGAGTCGGACTGGAGCTCTCTGCCCTTTACCAATCCAGCCACGGGCCCATCCATCTGGCCCATCAAGACTCACTCTCATTTCATCAGTCCATAAAACCTTAGAAAAATCAGTCTTGAGATATTTCTTGGCCCAGTCTTGATGTTTCAGCTTGTGTGTCTTGTTCAGTGGTGATCGTCTTTCAGCCTTTCTTACCTTGGCCACGTCTCTGAGTATTGCACACCTTGTGCTTTTGGGCACTCCAGTGATGTTGCAGCTCTGAAATATGGCCAAACTGGTGGCAAGTGGCATCTTGGCAGCTGCACGCTTGACTTTTCTCAGTTCATGGGCAGTTATTTTGCGCCTTGGTTTGTCCACACGCTTCCTGCGACCCTGTTGACTATTTTGAATGAAACGCTTGATTGTTCGATGATCACGCCTCAGAAGCTTTGCAATTTTAAGACTGCTGCATCCCTCTGCAAGATATCTCACTATTTTTGACCTTTCTGAGCCTGTCAAGTCCTTCTTTTGACCCATTTTGCCAAAGGAAAGGAAGTTGCCTAATAATTATGCACACCTGATATAGGGTGTTGATGTCATTAGACCACACCCCTTCTCATTACAGAGATGCACATCATCTAATATGCTTAATTGGTAGTAGGCTTTCGAGCCTATACAGCTTAAGAGTAAGACAACATGCATGAAGAGGATGATATGGACAAAATACTAATTTGCCTAATAATTCTGCACTCCCTGTATATTAATATTATAATTATTAAAATATAAACATATATTTTTATATATTTATATATATATATATATATATATATTTAAATATATATATTTAAAAAATTATATTATATATATATATATTTACTTGTACTTATATCACTTACTCCATTCCCCAGATCACAGTCCTCCAAGGCCTCTCAAGTTCAGTTGTTTCTGTTGAAAATAAAATTGTGTTAGTCCATTTAAATGTATAGAATAAACATTTATGTCTTGTACCACAAGACTTTTAAAATAAATGTTAGCATCATTCCCCTGGTTATAGGTGTCTTTCATTTAGCTCAGAAAACAGATTTGTGGTTGTTTTTTTTTAGACTTAAAAATTGAGTTTGTATATAAAGTTACAGCTACTATATCTCATTTATATATTTATGTATTGGCCTGTTTCAGGAGGATAAAAACAACCATCTTGTTTTCCAGTGGTCTCTCCTGCCTTACAATGAATAAAGAACAAGATAGCACTCGATCAGCAAAAAAAGGCAGGTCCAAAAAGAGTAGACCGATTTATCGGTCGGCCAATTAATCAGGATGATTATTATCGGCCAATGAGTCTCTTTAGTAGAGCTGATTTAAAGTCAGGAAACTTAGCAGGCAGCCTAGTGCTGTGGCTAAGTGGGAAGGGTAAATCATAGCTGTTTATAATCCGGGAATCCTAAACGTGGGGGCGGACATCATGTCCAGGAGGAAGACCACGCTACTCAGAGTGGAGTCTCCACCTCGATCTCATCTCTCAGATCCGGGACAGGTCCGGGAAAGCAACTGTGGATCTGTTTGCATCTAACAAGAATGCACAATGCAGGCTCTGGTTTTTCCTGAAACCGCGAGACCTCCTCCCACAGGGAGTGGATGCGTTTGGCAACAAACCATGGCCCAGGTTCCTGCTTTACGCTTTTCCCCCAGTTCCACTGATCCCTGGTTTTTTGAACAGGTCAGGCAGGAACAGCTATCAGTCATCCTGATAGCTCTTCATCCCGGCTCTGGCTACAGCTGCTGGTGACAGCACGGCTGTGGTGCCTGCCGTAGAGAGAAGATACGCTCCTTCAGGCAAACAGAGCCAACAGACACACTCCGATTTTGGGTCAGCACCTATGGATCTGGCCGCAGAGCGTTTACATTTAGTGACGTGTGGCCTCTCACCAGAAGTGGTTCGGACAATCCAGAACGCTTGTGCTTCTTCTACTGTAGCGTCCCTTTCAACGTCTATGTGAGGAACGGGGCTTGGATCCACTCTCCTGTCCTCTAGCTAGTATTCTGTCCTTACAGGTGTTGACGCACAGGGGCCTGGCGTTCGGCACTATTAAACGCAATTAGATGTTTTTACATTTGAAGTAAAAACATCTCATTGAGAATCAGAAATGTTTTATTGTCCCAAAAACTGGGAAATATGACATTATATCCTATGAAAGTGTTTCCTATGTACTTATCTGTTGTTTTTTATTTATCATATGACAGGTATGTGACACCATCTGAGCCATGCAAAAGAGCGATTCTCTTTTACCAAGCACCTCGTTGCTGCCACTCTGCTACAAAGTGACTTGTTTGTGCAACACACAGCACAGTCCCCAGATGCAGCACAGGCAACCACTGCAGAGGCCTACCCCATGTTGAACAAAACTAAGCTCAGAACAGAGCTATCCCTCATCTATGAGAACCATGAGTTCAGGGCTTGCACTGGTGCACTGACTCTTCCAGTTTTTCATGGAGAACAATCTTCAAAGCACGTTCACAGACACTGACACTCTTTTGAAGATTCTTGTCACCACACCCATGGCCACAGCCAAATCCGAGAGGTGCTTTTCGACCAGGCCCCCAAAATGCAGCTTTAAAATTGAGGCCAACCCGGAAGTAAGAAAAATTGCAGTTCCACCCTCATCCGCTAGGGGCTGGTATCAGAAGCGAGCAAAGCCTCATTGACTCCCATGTTAAAAATACCAATTTCACAGCAGAAATGAACATGTTTACAGCCTGGTACCTGGTACCAACAACTCTGAGGGGGTGAATTTTTTTCTCACTCTTCTGTTTAAGTGTATTAAAAGTCTAAAATTCTGTATAATTAATGAGCATCCGACCCACATGACCACAGAGCTAGCTCCGTGGAAAGGTCTCAGTAGAGCCTCGGTCTGGCTTGGAAACTGCTCCGGGATTTTGGGTCTCTGTGTTTGTGTATTCTTTTTTGGATATTTTTTGTGCAATTGTTGGACAAAATGACTTGCTGTGGTATTAATTGTACTAATAGAGCGTCCAAGGAGTCTCCACTTCATTTTTTTCGGTAAGTAAAATTATATTTATGTATTTTAGGTCACTGCCGAGCTGAGCTTAGATTTTAACAAGTACTGTTTAACCATGAAATTTAAATGTAATAGGGTAAAACCCAGTGCATTTAACATAATGCTGCACTTTAGAAAATGGGTTGAAATATAACTAGTTGGTGGAGCTGGGTTCCGACTATCGGCTTGTGGAGCTCTCGGGAGATCTCTGTTTTCCACCCGGAATGCCGGCTGTTTCTCCCCGCAGCCCGGTCCATCTCTGTCTGATCGCGGCTCCTGTTTGCTGCGGCGGGCTGACGGCTGGTTCTCCCAGCAGCTTGACGCATCTGTCTGATAGCTGCTTCTGTCTGCTGTGCAGCTGCCGGCTGGTGGAGCTCTCGTGAGACCTCTGTGTTCCACCCGGTTTTACCCAGCGGTCAGCCCGGTGTATCTCCGACTCAGAAGCTCTGGTGTTGTGCACAGTTAACTCCGGTTGTAGATAGGTTGCTACCTCCGTTAGCTTAGCTCCCACCTCCGCATTAGCTTTGGGTTAGCTTCAGGTTAGCTTGTAGCTAGTTCGACCGGGTGTCGTCAGTTGATCCCAGCCTTACAGCCCCACCCTCAGCTCCTCCTCTCTTCCCTTTTATGGAATTTTCTGGGCTTGACGGAACCTGTGACACAGTCAAAATGGCGGTGGTGGCCACCTCCCATTTTAGCAGAAAAACTTGTTATTGGAGCCTATGGAAACCCATTGTCCATATATTAATGTCAATGCTTTCTACTTTAAAGAGGATTAAGACTTTCCTGAGGAACACCATGACACAGGAACGGCTGAATGCTCTTGCCATGCTCTCCATGGAAAAAAAAGCTTGTCACAAAATTCCTGACTTCAATAAAAGGGTCATCGAGAGCTTTGCCACTCAGAAGGACAGAAGGGCAAAATTCCTGTACAAATGAGGTATCACACACACAAATGCATCCTCTTGATCTTTGTATAAAGTTGATTTTAGCACAGCACTCCAGAAATATTTAACAGTGTAAATTTCTGGCATTTTGTCTAAGTAGTGTTTACTACCATTACTGTAACAGTGACCTGCTCATAATTTTTCTTGTTCACTCAAATGTTGAAATTAAACAAAATGTTTTTGTTACTTGCCTCTTGCATTGCCTATTTACCATTTAAAGAGCAAGCCACCCCCTACAAGAAACTTACTTCACTCCCACTTCATGTTTGAAAAATGCAACAAATGCTGTTGCTTGGCAGACCGAGAGGGCGGAGCCGCTAACAAATACACACAGGCTCACAATGGCACTGTGACATCATAATGTACCAGATGACATCATAGCATACCTCTTAGCCAATAGCGGTGGCAGATTTAAATTCAAATACAGTGCAGAATTTTTCCCTGACGACGGCGCAACACTGAGTTTTAGGCAGAATATTTGAATTTTAACCAAGATGCACTGAACTGCCAAATTATTGACTACACGTGTCTGTAGCACCATTAGACACTCCTTTATATAGTTTATCAGCAAAAAAAATGTGATTTGGGGGTGACTTGCTCTTTAAGGTAATGTTATTTTATGTGCAATTTAATGCAGTATTTTTCAACCTTGGTCCGCAAGACAGCGTGCCAATAGTCAGACACACCTGGATTAATTAGTTTGTCCAATGATGTAAGACAGGAAATAAAAGAGCTGTGCTTAGTTCAGGAAATAGTGGAGTTGTGCACAAAGCTCAGAAAGCATAAGTTTGTTTAAAAAAACATAGCACAGGCCCACCAAGAATATTTTTCACCAGCCACCACTGCGGAACATTGTGAGAAATGTCTAGAAATATACGAATTCATTAAAAAGATATTCAGAGAACTTACCCTCCACCTGGTAGACCTCACACTCAGTCAGGTTCAGGTCATTCCCGTGCATCTCTTCAGGTGTGAAGTTGTAATAACCTCCTGGATTGCTGTAAGTTACTGGTTTGTCTCCACTGAAGAACGCCAGTGCATTTCCAAAATAAGGCCCTGAGTTGGCAACCATGTAAACTGCATTCGGGTAATTTAACACTGGATATTTAATTAACTTTCTTCCTCTGAAGGTGAACAGAAAGGCCTGCTCATCGTTCGCATACTGTCCACTCCGACTAAAGGGTTGTTTGGTGAATCCTCCAAACACAAACCCAGAGGCGTTGTAGCCCACAGACACCGTGGGAGAGAGGCTGTCACATCGCTGGTGGAAGGCAGCAGCAGTAAAACCATGAAGAGTAGCTTTAAACAGCAGCTTGAGTTTAACGGTCCCCAGATGGGAGCAGACGGTTTTCTGCTGGTTTCTGGTTAGTTTGGAGTTCATTCTGGACTGAACGTAAACTAAAGTTGGAGTCTGAGGGTAAAAGCGAGAAATAGAGGTTTAGCTTAACAAAAACATCACATTCACCTCGGTAATTATTGTTAAATGAACATTTGGACCCGAACATCACGTTTACTCCTCGAGTTAGACCCCTGACAGTTGCGGTAAACATTAGATTAAAATGTTTAATTTTATTGAACAGATGCGCTTATTTTACCTTTGAACAAGATCAGTTGCGCGTTTCTTGGTTCGTGCCCAAGGTTCCTTGTTGCAGTAAGTTTCGTTTTCCTGATGAGCTGTACTGGAAAACTGTCTACGGAGAGCCAGTGGTGCCAAATGATATTAAACAAAAGACACGCATTACTGTGTCAACAATTAATTGAAATCTTGAACAGAAACATGACGATTTATTAAATGTATTATTTGTGACGTTTTTCATGAATTGAAAATCTTTAATTTAATTTCAAACTATTTTCCCTTAGGTATGGAGAGCCAAAAGTGGTACAATACAATAAACGATTTGTTTGAATGAGCTATCAATTTGAAATACAAAATATGTTACATATTAAAGAAAATGTGTAATAAGTTTGAGCTACTGCACACATTTGTTGGCCATCGAGTTTTATAAGTGGAATTCCTTTATGCCAACCTACTTCTCAAATCAATAAATACAGTATGTGTCACAAATTAAAACCTTATTTTGATTACACTTTATTTCATTTTATCATGGTCTGTGTTGCTGTAGGTCATAAATGTATTTTACTTGTCAAACTTGCCCTCAAATTCAGTGAGAGGAACTAAAGGAATGCACCATAAATTTGGCTACCAAAAATTTTCAGCCAAAGCTCAAAAATCACCAAAAAATAAGTTTAAAAAAACTTGGCCGAAACAGGCCGTCAGGTGAACCCCATAGCTGTCATGTTGGGTGGCAGTTTCTTGACCCATGACATGCAGAGTCACACGGGAAACAGACAAGCGTAAAAAGGATTTATTTAAAAAGAGGAGCAATGGGAACTGAAGATGCTGCATACTGGTAGCAGGATTCCAGGGTGAGGTTCTGAGGAGGGAGACAGAGTGAGAATCCAGTGGGCTTTATGGACATATTGACTTTAGACGAGAGCTTACTGTTTTCCAGTAATGGTAGGAGGAGGTGGGGGGGGGGGGGGGGGGGGATGGGGCTTGGTCAGGTCTGGGGGAGCTGAGAGATCCACAAGGCGACAAATGGTATATCCAGAGGCGAGGTTGGAGCGGATGTTGATGAGGGCAGGTGAGCGGCTGAGAGCGGGCGGCCAGGGGAACGGCAGTGTGATCTGGAGTGCGGGAGTCCGGGCTGGTTATGGAGATGAGGGAACATGGAGTGGAAACCTGGAGGAGAGCAGGGAAGAGTCGTCTTGGATTATTCAGGCAGCAGGTTTTCTAACAAGATACACAAGTTCAAGGCATGTTAGTGGCTAGCGCTACCCAAACAGAGTAATCATCCGGCGTGGTGTGGTGTCACACTGCTCCTTAAATCCCCTGGGCCTTGATGACAGGATCAGCTGCAGCTGGTTGCTCTCAGACACGCCCACCTGCAGACAAGGCTCAGAGGATAGATTACTGACAGGCAGCTCACCACGGACCATGACAACAGCACCCATTTTTGTTTCATCCCTCATGCGACAACTTGCTCTTTGCTTCATAAAAATCGTACGTTCGCATTGACTTCAAAAGTTACGTTTTCACCTTAGTACTCACTAAAAACAGTTGGGTTAAAAATGACCCAATTTGGGCTGTTTTGTTAACCCAGCCGCTGGAGCAATATTGCACCAGCCCAGCAGTAATTAATTTAACCCAACAAGATGGGTTCCTCCATTTCAACCCAACTCGAGTAGCAGGCGAGGCTAGTCACGCAGCAGTCAGACAGCAGAGTGCGCCAAGGCTGCATGTCTGCAAAAACGAAGTCTGGGTCACAGAAAAGGAAAGAAAGAAAGGAGAAAGAGGACAGGCAGAAGACACGGCGTCAGTATGTCACACAGTTTTTCTCAAAGAAAGGTGGGTTTAGTGAGTGGTTAAATTCAACCTGTTTGCTAGCTCTGATATCCACAATGAGAGGAACTATGTTTCATCTAATTATGGTAAATGGGTTGTTGTCCTTGTCCCTACCAGAATCAGCAGTTGATGATATGTCAGCAGGTGTCCCCTCACAACCCAATGAACCTCAAGAAGGTGAGCAATGTAGCATGTTAGCTAGCAGCCTCATTTAAGGGGGTCTGTGGGAATCACTTAAGGCTCTCTTCTCTATTGGTACTATTACAAAGGAATATAAAAAGGCCATTTTTGGTGAAACACATTGTTTTTCCACATAATGATAATTATATATATTAATCAGTAAAAATGTATAGATTGTTTTGGATGCTGGGCAGGTTGAAGCATTGTTATTTAGTCTGTTAATGTAACATAAATTACTGTGAGATTATTACTGTGAAGCACCTTTTTGAAGGCACCATACAAGAAAAAAAAACCTCTTCATATACTGAACACCTTGAAATGAAATGTTTTGAATCTGACTGAATTATGGGAGGTTTTACAAGATGTAATTTGTTTATGTAGCTTTTAGAACACAAACCAAAAATCAATCATTTCCAAATAATTCATCAGAGAGCAAAACTGAAACAAAAGTTAATAATTGTAATAAATAAACTTAATATAACATTGAACACAATAAAATATGAAATCTAGTATTGATCGTTATCGAGCATTATTAATTATATCACTGTAAATTATAAATCTTGCTGTGTACAATCATGGCTGAATATATTTTTTGCTGGTTTTTTTTGTTGTTGAGAAAAATGGGTTTCTAGAGACTTCTATACGTATTCATGCAAAGTTGTCCAACTTTAAAATTTTGTGTAACCCTAACTGACTCCGGTTTGAACTGTGTGCTTATTCATTTTGTGTCTATGATGAAGCCATGTAGACTTAATAAAGAAGTCACCTTGTCAGCAGTGAATCCTTAATTTTTGTCAGTCATACAGAAATACTTGATTTCAAGAGGAAAGACAGCTGAAAATGAAGTTATGTAAAGCTTTGACACAACATGGAAATTTAATTAGATATCCAAATTTAAATTTTATCATCAAATAAAATTTTAGAATAAATAAACACATTTTAAGGGAGTAATAGGGAAAAGGAGATTAACACCTTTCAGCATGTGCATTTTCTGCTTTTTCCAGCAGTGATATTGCTAATTCTGTTGAAGGAAATTCACTGTTTAATGAGAGACAGTTGGTGAAAATGATATGTAAATAAGTAAGAATGCATGTAGACCTAAATAATTAAGCAAAACTGAAACACTAATATAAAGTATATATATATATTTTTTTTTTCTCTCCCTTCGAATCTGGGAGGGTGGAACCCGAGCTCCAGCTATGGACGAGCCCCCAGGGGGCCCAACTTGATATTTTTTCATGGGGCCCAAAATCTCTGGCAGCCCCCCTGAACACATTACAGTGCATTTTAGAAGACAGAAAATTGCACCTATCCATACTCAACTATCAAAACGTACATGCTAGATTTGGTCACGTAAAGCATATACAATACAATAAAACTTCAACGATACTGAAATTTTTACAAGGCACTGCTTTGAAATTTATTCATGTAAATGTAAACAATATAAAAGTTCAGATTACTTGAGGTCAAGAACTGCAACAATGTACACTGAAATACATGTAATTCAGTGCTAAACAACAACATTTAAATGGTCAAGTGTACATTTTACAAATGCCTATTTGCTCCTTTTGCTAGCAAGTATTCTACTTTGAAGAAACTTTACTAGTTTTGACTCCCCTCCTGGGATTTCATAGATGGTGCTTTGCAGGAATTTCCACACGTGTTCACACTGCCTGGGGTATTCAGTGTCCAAAATAAAAAAAGCCCTGAAGCAGGCATCGACAGCCTGAAGCAGTGTGTCATGATCCACAGCCTGACCAGCAATGATGACAAAGGCCTGAGGCACATGCTGTTTATCATTTCCCAATGTCAGGACGTAGGGGAATGGTCTTGATGCTTTGGCCTCGTGGAGGTATTCCACCATGTTGGTTCCAGGCTAAAAAAAAACTGAGAAAGAAAGCATAACAATGAACAGGTGAGAAGGTATGAGTGAGTAAGGAACAAATGGCTCCCAACATCAACTGGGTGACAGTGGCACAGGAGTTAAGTGCTTGCCCCGTAATCAAAAGGTTGCATGTTCAAGCCCCGCTCAGATTGTCGCTGTCATTGTGTCCTTGGGCAAGACACTTAACCCCCCCCCCTGCCTCTGTCAGTACGCACCAGGGCAGCTGGCAGCCGAAACAGTCCCGGCTTATACGAGCGAACAATACTTGCAGGACCTGAAAACCCACCTGCCTGCAGCATTCTCGTTTGCACAGGCAACTCTGGAGAAGTCGGCTGAAGGCAGGAAATCTTATTACGATAAGAAGGCCTCACATTCCGAACTCGACATAGGTGATGAGGTCTGGTACTACATTTTCGCTCCCAATACGGGTAAGAATAAGGCGAACTCGGGGAAGCTGGCTAAGAAACTTTTGCCCAAATGGTCGGGTCCATACCTGATAACAGATAAGCTCTCTCCGGTCGTGTATCAGATCAAGATTACCTGCAAAAACAAGGCGCCCGTCTACAAATGGGTCCACAGGGACCATATCAAACTGCACAAGGGTTCCACAGATATGGTCGATGCCAACAACGACAATTTATCGACTTCGAAAGGGGGGTGATAAATGCGCCTCGTTGGTTCCACGATTTCTATCTCAGGTTACACAAGTTTGTATGTTTGTGTGTATAAATGGTTGTCTTTCATGTTATACATCACGTGCAGACTTAGGGTGTGTTGAGATGGACATGCTGTGGGCTCCTGGAGTTAGGTAAACGGCCAGGTAACAGTGAGTGGGTTAGGCCACATAGTACTGTTATCCAAAAAAAAATTTTTTTATCTTCACTAATCTAAATTCCTTATGGGTACATTAACATGAAAGTGATTACTAACTCTACTGATTTACATTTTAGTATTGATTTACATTTCTGTTTTTTTATAGTGTCTTTGACAGGATGATTGAAACGTGAACGTTATGATTTTCCACATCTATTTGCCTTACAGGGCTATAACCAATGTTGCCTCTATCCTGTCAGCGTGTATTTCGTGTGATGATTCACTGATACCAGACAGGGTTCTTTCATTTTCTGCTTTTCGCATCATCCTTTTTGCATCTCACATAGAGAGGGCTGCATCCATTTCTTCATTTAAAGGGTAATTAATGTAAAACTTACACATAGTACAACAGGTACTCATAGAGTTAGGTTTTTATTTTTGTTTGAGGACATGAAACGCAATCTTGTCGTGTCTACATTGAAGTGCCTGCACTGTGCTCTCTCTCCTCTGCTGAGTTCGTGAGGATCCTGCTTCCTGGGGGTGGACCCGTGACTCGTCATCGAATACGACTACTCCTGGGTGGTGCTCCGGCTCGTTGGCCCTGGACGTCCGTGGTCCCGACATGGCTGCTGGGACACCTCGCTCGCTGGGATTACTGCCTACTGCTCTTCCCTTTTGCTGGATTACGATAAGTGCTGTTACAAAGATCAATTTACTATTTGGAATAATATGGAATATTTCCCTGCTCATGGATACGTACAAGCTTTGCTCCTGCTTGACATTATTGCCCGTGGATATAAAAAGTTGCTGTTGCTTCAATTATGGCTTCCATGGGGAATATTTAATAACCTGCTGACTTGTGTGCTTCCCGAGGAGTATGCAAGACTGTTCTTCGGCGTGGGGTTCGTACCTCACCACGGTTGGCTGTTCCAGTGGGATCGCACCCTGCTCGGTTGTCAAGATCCTTCATAACTTTGGTTTGTTCAACGACCAAGTGGTCTCTTGGTGGACCACATTGACCTTGAAAAGGGGGGGGGTGTAGCGTTATGAATATGCTATTTTCTGCCCTTAACAGCTGCCTTTGACACAGTGACAGTGTGCATAAATTGCCAAGGTCGTGCGCTTGTTTTGATGTTTACATTCCAGAAAAGAAGACAGAAGAAGGACAAAGAACGCTTTTCATTAGTTAATTTATTTATTAACTAAATAATTTATTTTTAATAAAGCTAATCAAAACAACAGTTGGTCAATAATAATCAGGTGACCGATCTGTGAAATCACAATGTTATGATTTATGTGTTTAATGAATCACAGGACTAACTGAGCCAGACATCCTGATCCATATAAGGTAAACGCATGACACATTGTTCACTCATCCAATCAGAACTTCCGTTCTGTTGCGGGGCAGAGTTCTGTGGTGTTTAGTTAATCTGTCCACTCCGATTTGCTAAGAATTATAAACAACTAAGTTAATAAAACAGAACAACGCCATTTTAAGGTCAGTTCCAACTAAGCTCTTCAATGTAGTTGGTTAACGCTGTTCCAACCAAGTACTCGACCAGCTCTCAAATCCATCATCGCTAAGGGAAGTACAGACTGGCCAGCTGTATTTTCTACTTTTAAGCTGAGAACTGTCAAGCTGGAAAATTCTGTCGTTTTATCAACAAGACGACGGTTCCTTCAGAATAAAAGCTGAACTCTCTACGTGACGTGACATCTGCCGTTGCTACCGGGAGTCGATCCGTAGACTGGTTTGTCATGCTGCAGACTCTGTGCCATCAGTTCCAGCACCAAGGAGGGTCCGAGGACCTGGCATTCCTGATCTAACACGGGAGTCTCCGAAACGGTACGTAGATCCGGCACAGATGGCGTCTCATGTCCGTGCTCCTGAAGTCCCTCGTGTTAGATAGTCAAAACAACATCTTACACCCAGACTCGTCTGCATCAGATGTTGATTCTGAACTGACACACACACCACCACCACTTCAGCCTCACATCCATCTCCACCCATCATTAGAGAGTTAGTCCTGGATAATTGTTTCGAATAATTATAAGAATAAATATTCTTAAACGTCCCATATTTCTCTTTTCTTCTCTCTAAATCAATGCAAAGTGTTTGAATAAAATTCCCTGTGGTAAAAACAACCTCTTCTGATTCTAAGGTAAGATTAATCTCTGGACCTTAATAAAAGTGTAAGAATATACCAACTATATTCCGCTACAGTAGAATAATCTAGAACAGGTTTGAACAGTGTGGGTGTTGCAATTTTTGAGCTACAGCTGTTCCATTGTTGGCCAGATGCTGAAAAAACGCATAAATCTGGCTTTGTTGAAGTTTCACAAATCAGGGAAAGGTTTCACAAATCCCACACTGTTTTATTTGATCTGCTATTATAGTAGAATAATCTAGAACAGGTTTGAACAGTGTGGGTGTTGCAGTTTTTGAGCTAGAGCAGATTAAAGATGGTCAGAGTAGAGAAAAATTGGGTGTAATGGCCCCTTAGCCGTTTGCCAAATCGGAAGCTGGAATTGGAAGCTAACTTCAGCCTCATTGCAATTAGCCAGCCCAGCAACACTGTATCCAAATTTATGGGCTCCATCAATCGAAGGATTCTGGTCAATAGAGAGCTGTTGGTACTAGACACCGGGTCCTTCGTTGACCGAGATATGTCGTAAAGTTTTACTTTAATAAAATGTATTAAATTCATCATTGCAAAGTTCCACAGCATTCTGCATTGAATTCATGAGCCATATGTGTTTTGGTCCATCAAGGTGTTACGAGGTGGTTGATCTAAGGATGTCCAGAACCAGGAATGTTGGACAAAGGTTTTTTTTTTTCTTCAAACAACTTCAATTAAATAAATATGATAAAAGCTTTTATTAAAAGTTACTCAGGAGGAGTAATCACATTTGTATTCTGAGAGCTACTTCACTGAAGCTTTAACAACGAATAAACTATTCACATTTCACTTCACATTTTTATGTAGAACTGTTAAACTGTAGAAGCTTGAATCTGCGGTGTCCAAGTCTGCAGCCTTGAATCTGCAGTTAGTCTTGAATCTGCAGTTTTATGTTTGTCCTTTAGGAGGCGCTGTCTCAAAAACAGTACAAGCCCATCTGCAGTCGGCACTCGATGAACTGGCTCATCTCGATAAAACTCGCGGTACTTGAGGAGTTCCCGCGGGAGTGCTGTGGTGTTTACATTATTGGATCAGCAGTGTGCTGAGAGGGGGGCCTTCTGCTGGAGTCTGTCTGAAAACACTTCTCTACTGACTCCACAGCACAGGCGCTCTCCGAGAAAAAACTTCGTAGTGTACAGGCAAAGCGCCACGCAGTAAGGAGGCCTGTTCAGTCCACTTTTTGTCGCGACCTTGGAAAGAAAATAAAATACAACAACAACACCGCCTTGACCATCGGAGGAGTTGTTTTTAAGGTGAAAGAGGAATAGCTTTGCAACAGATTCCCACTTCCTGGTAAGTACCGAGACAGCACTAACTGACAGCGGACTTAAACAAAACTGTAGCTAACTTATCTCTTCCATCTTCCTATAAATAGTTTGTGTTTAACTTGTTGGAGAACTAACAGCCACATAAAACCAGTAATTGTGACTAGTTTTAGCTCAACTTGAGTTGGTACTCAAACTAACTTGTACGAAGTCTTGCTAACTAGCTTTCCCTATTCTCAGCTAGCATGTGGCTTTGCTAACTTGAACTACCATAAGTGGCACAAACAACTTTGACAGTCAGCGTTAATAAACACATTTATGAGTGTTCTGGAGAACATTTACTTAACCTGACTTTCGGAACACAAGATTCGTGTAGCTAACACGTGATGGGAAGTTTTACAGCGATTACTTACTGTCATGCTTCACGGACGTCACACCTAATAATTTAAAACCACATCGGTATGTAGATTTCTGCTTTCATATCTATTTTACTCCTTATTAGGATAATCTGTTAAATTCAAACTATTACTCAGAATATCATCAAACTTTCAAACATTACATAGCATGTCTGTGTCCCTTAAAGTATGCTGCATAGTTCTAGAACAAGTTTTTTTATTCGTGGTTTTTAGTGGTTGAAACTTACAATACTGGCTTACTGCCTATGTGTATATACATATGCGTTTGTTATTTATTTATTTTCTTCAAATTATCCTCCTAAGTGTTGGTGCTGCTGGAACAAGTACATTTCCCCACTGTGGGACCAATAAAGTCTATTCTATTTTCTATTCTATACCACATCAATGTCTTTGTTTTTAAATTACACATTTTAAGTTGAACATTTTTTTTATGTGTTAATCAGACAAGTGGATAATTTTTGTTCTTCCATTATTATGTCATTATCAAATGAATCCATCAGTAATTTTATATTATCAACTAAGTGAATGTCTTGAAGTAAAAACTAAGGGTAGACAGATATATCAGTTGGGCCGATGAATCGGTCCGATAACAGTTTTTTACATATCGGCATCAGCCAATATTTGTTAAAGCTGATTTAAAGTCAGGTGCATTCTCAGGCAGCCCAATTCTGTTGCAGAATTTGATTTAAATTTTGAGTTCACTAATAACATCTATATAATAAATACTCTAAATTAACTTTAGGTGTCTGACTTTAACACTGAGCAGTGTACAAAGTTAAGATTTAACAGTTGGTTAAATGCAAAGTTCAAAAACTGATTCAGCTTCAGAAATTTTGTTTATCACCTGATGTTATTAATGACAATTTATCATGAAAATACAGTCGAAAATGTCTGAATGTAGGCCATGAAAATCGGCAGTACATATCGGCTGACCATGTCTCCTACATATCGGTATCAGCAATAGAAAAAACAATTTCCGTCGATCTCTAGTAAAAACATTGTCCTTTTTAAGGTGGAAAACCTATTGTTCTGCTGCAGCTAACCTAGAGTCCTGCTCTCGATGTATCTGAATTTTGTTTTTGTTCACAGTTTTAATGGAACAATTAATCAGTGACAACGTCATAGTCGTTTCTGACACAACTAATGCAGCGTATCATATTGGGCATCAGGAGGTTGAGCAGGTTGTCCAGTAATCGGAAGGTTGTAGGTTCAATTCCGGCTCTGTTGTGTCCTTGGGCAAGACACTTAACCCACTTTGCCTGCTGGTGGTGTTCGAAGGGACCGGTGTCGCCTGTGCTGTGAAGCCTTGCCTCTGTCATTGTGCCCCAGGGCAGCTGTAGCTACATCGTAGCTCATCACCATCATTGTGTGAATGGATGAGTGATACACTGTAGTATAAAAACGCTTTGGAGTCCCTTGAATCTGAAAGGCACTTTACAAGTGCAGGTCACTTTTCATTTATCATCTCTTGTTTTTGCCTAATGAAAGAGTGCTGAATGGATTCTGCCACCAGACTGAGCCAATTAACTCTAACCTCATGATAACTCAATTAAGAGTTAGTACTTTTATTAATTGAAATATTAACTTGTGTGTGTTTACAAATATCACATAGCAATCAGTCTTGAGGTTACTTGTTTGTTGAAAGCTGAATCCAGTAAAATGTTGCTGTCATTGCCCATCACAGCTGAATTACACGTCGTACCTACACATAACAGAAGGATGATCCACATAAAAGTTAGTGGGAGTTGACAAACCTTGTTGACCCAATTATTACTCGCCTCTCTGTTGCCACATCCGATCATCATCAGATGATGCTGGAGTCTGCCAGCATCATCAGGTGATTGAGATGAACACTGGCTGGCTCTAATAAGTTGAAAATCAAAGACATGACAGCCACATGAACAAAAGTTTGCATCAGTCTCTGTGGTGACGGATTTCTGCCAGTAGGTCTCCCTTTGATTTCCTGTTAATGGGAGGAGGATTATTCATGACAGGCTCTGGCTCAGTTAAATTATTTACTTTTGTTCTGTTGTTTGGATAAAAACAGGTGTAAATAGATGAGGGAGGATCAGTTATAGTTGGTCTGGAAAGATTAAAAAATTGGGTATTTAACTATTTTAACAGAAGCAAAACCGACAATAGCATCAAGTTACAAAGGAAAATGTATCTTTTAAAAGTGCAGATTGGAGCTCAGACTGGAATGCAGCATAGTGAAAGCAAATTTATTTAAAAAATTTTTAAATAAAGTTTTTCTTCTTTACAGTTTAGTCTGATCTATTTTAAGAACAGTCTGTACAAGAATCATGCTTTGATTCACCCATCCATTTCCTATACTTGCTAATCCATGCAGAGTTGCGGGGAACCTGTGCCTATCTCCAACAGTCTTTGGGCAAAAAGGTGGGGTACACCCTGGACAGATTGCCAGTCCATCGCAGGGCAACACACACACACACACACACACACACAAATTAAACTTTTTAAGGCAGATGGCTGATATCTAAAGCCGAGTATTAAGGCCGAGATATATATATATATATATATATATATATATATATATATATATATATATATATATATATATATATATATATATATATATATATATATATATATATATATATATATACATACATATATAAGTAGCAAATTGATTGTGAAAGACATCTGAACACTCAGTGTGTGCAATATAAATAAATAAGTCAATAAATCTCTTAATATTTATTGAACTTCAAAAATAAAACAAACTCCAAACATTAAAAAAAAAGGTGTTTTGGGGTCCTTTGGGTCCTTTCTTCAGTCTAGTAGTGGCGACAGTTGGCCACACAGGTGCCTGATTTTATTTATTTTCTTATCGGCTTTTAAAAATAATTTTGGCCAATGTAGAAATTTTTTATCATCATATATTTGCTATATTGACCGGCCGATATATCAGTTGGCCTCTAAATGAAACACTAAATTAGATTTCCTAACCAGTTCAAAAACATTAGGTAATGTTACTAAATTTATGATTTATATAACATTGGATGATATTTTAGTTGATTGCTAAACAGCATGCAATTTCAAAAGTTTTTATAACCCAAATGAGTGGGAAAATAATGCTGAATGTTTTAAAGTTGTGAAATCTGCAGTTGCAGCCATGATTTAACACAGAGGAATTGACCAAACTATTCAGTCCGGTGAGAGTTTCCTGTTTTAGCCCTGAAGCTGGCCCCCTCCGCTGGATTAAAGATCAGATGAGACATTTGTCATCAGACCACTTTAACAATCATCTTGCCGTTGGGTTTTCCACGGAGAACAAAAAAAAAAAAAAGTTTGCTCCTTTTTTCTTTCACCGAGCATATTTGAAGGAAGATGCTTCCTGAGGCTTTTTTAGCTACACTGAACTGTGTTTCATGATGTGAAAGACCTTGACCAAGCATCGTACAGAAACGGCTGTAGAACATCACCGCGTCGGCTAGATTAATATTCATACGATGTTAATATTTATACTTTGTAGTTATTTGTTACATTTGAAGCAAACATGTCAATGAATACATGTAAAAATTAAACAATGTACATAAAAAAGACAGAAGATGGAAGATTAATGGATCAGAAGATTTTTAAATTGAGTCTTTCTTTCAGTACTCTGGTTCAAGTTTAGAGTCAGGTCGTTGGCAATGAGTGTGGGTTGTCTCCGCAGCTTTCTACGCTCCTCTCAAACTGCCAGCCTGTCAATATTTTTCATATCTCCTTCTGCTTTATTATATGAAGGGTCACTGATGTTTCGAGTATTTAAATATCCTCAGAGGAAGCCTCGTAGCTCCTTATGTCACGTGAATGTTGTTAATTTCAGTTTTACTTTTTCCTCAGTAGGTAACCATTCTGTAGTACCTGAGGTGTGCACGTGTGTGTGCATGTTGTGATGCATTCTCTTATTTGTCCTGATTTCATTCTTAAATATGTATTTTTTAAATATCAGTCCCCTGGTCTTGCAGATAAGCAGAGCCACAGCCCTGTGGTGCAGAACAAACATCCTGGTGCCAGAGGAAACCAATGTGGCGGTCAGTCGGTGACACGGCTAACAAACAGAGCACTGTTGGTGCTTTGCAGAGCTGCTTTGTGAAAGACTGTCAGCTCTTGCCACAGAGCTCTTGTGCAACCTAAAGCCAGAATCTTCATCATGCTGTGGTGTGGAAATCTGGGTTTGGTTGTCTGAGAAAAACTCAAAATTACTGACCAAACAACAATCTGTTAATCTCACTAGTTTTACTGACTTTTTCAAACGTCTTTGTGCATGAAACAAGCAATCTATTGTTTTTGAAATGGTAGCTATAGAAAATTAAATTAAATCAATAAGTTTAAGAGAACTTTATGTAAATGTTGAAGATTCCCTGGAAGCTTTTTTTATTTTTTTATTTTTATTTATTTATTTATTTTTTACTATTATAAATGAATTTAGCAGAAGGCAGGAAATGGGGATTAAAGAGGAACTAAAGCCAGTGCCAAAGTCTGGTTCACAGCACCACACCATCTCTCTCAGGATCACAAACACATCAGGGCTACGGGCGAACCCCTTTCCCTCTTCTCTAGGTTGTCCATCTGTTGCCCTCTGTCCATCACCATTCCCACTGTGCCCTGTACGTTTTTCATTGTCATACACTGTTTTTTCCCCCAACTGAATGTAGTTATAAATCATTTCATAACAAGGCAGGGAAAAATCTTTTCCACCACAAGTTTTTAATCTTTTTCCCGACAATAGAGAATCATGTAACTAGCATCTTAATCAGTTATCATGCAGTAAACGTTCTTATTTGAGCAGCATGGAAACAGTGAGCAGGTGACATTAAATTAAATACTTGAAAACTGTGCAGATGTCTAAAAAGATCATTACATGATGTCACATGTTCAGGGTTTTTCCTGGCTCAAATTGAGGCAGAGGTGGTACCATCCTGACCATGCGCTAGCACATGCATACTCTGTGCATTCAACTGCCTCACTTTTTTAAAGGCAAAAATATTATAAAAGGCTCAATAATATGCATTAGATTGGTGTTTAGTTCCCTTTTTCCCATCTGATATTTATAGTTAAAATATTTTTAAATATTTGACCTACATTTCAGTAACAATTTAGGTTTGTATTAATAACACTCATCTTAGTCAAAATAACCAGTAAAATATAATGCATTTCATTAACATGCATGTCCAGGCCCAAATAAAAGACAGAATACATAAAAGGAAATGAACCGACATAAACGATCGCGTGTTAAATTTGTTTTTGAGGTGGTGACACCTAATTTGAAAATGTTACTGTGGCCGTGCTCAGGACGCAGATGTCTGGAGCGCGTCAACGATCAGAGCTCTGCACCTCTCAGCTCAAAATAATCCCTGGAGAGTCCACATGAATAATGTAATATAAGTAGAACCAGGATCTTTTTCTGGCTCCCCCTGGGTGTGTAAGCTGAGGGCTTCCAGGGGAGCCTGTCGTCCTTTGGGGTGAGCCGGATTCCCTTCAGCTCACCCATAATTCGAACCCTGCGTATAGCACAAATTGGTCGCGTGAGTTGCCGGATCCTAGCAGACAGTTGCCGGAACTGTCCTTTCAAAATAAGACAGTTCCCGAATCTTGTCCTGGCAAGATCCGGCTCAAATTAAGCCCTGCTCAGCATGCACCCATCTGACACTCGCTCACCTCTCCGCTACCTGCATTTCTCAGATAACAGAAATCTAAATGGAACCACTTCAGTCAGTAACAGGTGTGACCAGTGATTTCCTAGGAAGCTTCCTTAGAAGTAGGCTGCCAAAATGCAGTGAAGCATTTTCAGGTTACATTGCTGCTGCAACCTGAGAGGGATTTAGACAAAAGGGTGTCAGGTCCACGGGCACGACCCGAATCCTGGTGCTGCTGAAACTAGAGACCTTAGGAGCAGTCTCTGATGAGCTTGACGCAGAACAGTCAATGCTGGCTTGTATTTGTGTAAATTTGTCATTTTAAATCAAGTTTTTGTTTGTCTGATTGATTCCCAGAGGTGTACAGGATCCGACTCCCAACACCATGAATATGGACATGCATCCACAAGGACCGCAAGCAGCCGTGCCAGTATTCCAGGTAACCACACCAACACCTGCTAAACTTATAAGTATTGTGGAAGTACAGTAATACGATACAGGGAGTAACATTTTAAAATCCGTTAGTTTCAGTCGTAGACCACTGTGGTTATTGTTGGTAGTTCTGCCACGCGCCAGTGCAGGAGAAGCACTACTGTTGAGTCAAGTTAGAAAAGCTATTTCTGCACATTTGTAAAAAAAATGTTACTGATGCTGGTTGTTCACACACACACACACACGCACGCACGCACACACACACACACACAGCTGAGTGCAAAAAGGCAACTGAAGAGAAGCAGACCTGAAACTAGTGATTAAAAACATGGCAGAAAGCTGTAGAGCCAGCTGGAGGAAAAAACTCCTACATTTGTACAAATATGTCCGTTTAAAATCTGACATCAACTTAAATTCTCAAATTCTAGATTTGCTGATGAACTTAAACATGTGGTAGCAGAAAAATCTCATTAAAATGCAATGGCTCATTTTTTCCTTAATGGCAGATGAATAGAGAGTTGATTGCTTGTCTGCCTCATGATAATATCGCCAGGTGTATTGATGGTTCAACCAGATATATCTATTTAATGGCTGCCGGCTTTGCCTTGTTCATTTTCCCGTCTCTAAAACGGATCCTTACAAGTATCAGGAAACAGGACTTCTGTTTAGTTAAACGTCTGTAGTCCAAGAATCACTCTGAGGTGTGTGTGGGGGAGGGGGTCACTGAGGCTGCTCAAGCTTTTATGAGGCTCATGTGGGGGCATAACCTCTACCCCTACTGCTCTGGCTTTCCACCTGACTCTTAAGCAGCTGGAAAGGGTAATACACCACTAATGGCTGCCATTTTAGTCTATGAGTTTATTTCCACCTGGCGTGGAGTGATGCGTCTCAGATGCGTAGTGTCGTAATGCTTGGCAAAATGTATGCTTTGGGTCTATTTTTTTATGCACTATGCTTCCAGATTGGGCCAGACAGGAAATCTACACAAGAGCAGCGTAAAGCATCCAGCAAATTTCAAAATAAGATATTTTCTGATTTTCCATTGCTTAACTATAAAAATAAATGTCATTACTTGTGAAACCTCCTTTGAGGTAAAAAGAACAGAAACTAAACCAGACCTTTAGGATACACACTACCTGCTTTTTCTTCACTTGTTATCACCTGGACTGACCAAATCACACGTGATCTGTTATGATCGGACTTGGAGACCCGTGAGGACAACTGGACACAGTAAGCGCTTTTAGTCTTTTATTTACAGAGATATAGCATTACCAGAGACCGATGGGGCTTAGGCTGAGGCAGGGTGGGGAGGAGGCGTGGGTCGGAGCCAGAGAGATCCGTAATAAATCCAAGGGGAAAGGCGAGAGGCAAAATCCAGAGACAGGTCAGCGTTCGGTAAACCAGGTAGACTGAGAGGAGAGTCGCAGACAGGGAGCAGACAGGCGGCGAGGTCGAGAATCAGATCCAAGGTCCTTATACCAGGCAGGCCTGTAATCAAAGCAACAGGATCCAAACAGGGGCGAGGCAAGGTGGAAGGTATGTGAGACAAAACAAGGTCAGGATACGTGGTTCAGGCAATATAGAAATGCTGGAGAATTTACTTGCTTTAGGCGTTCAATAATCTGGCGCTGGCTTGGTGTTGGTCCAGAGAGCGTTGCAGGTGGAGCTGATGAGGAGTTATGTGAGACAGGTGGTTTGGATGAGGTTGATGGTGAGTTGGTAGTGTTTGCTGGGGAAACGGGGCTTGGCTGGAGCAGGGGCATGACGTGATCTTGTAATTCCACCTTGAATTTGTGATCTTGCGAGACCAGCTGTGTGAAATTCAAAGCTGCTGCGCATCGAAAACGCTCCCAGTAGGAGGGAACATGCTGCTGAGGTCACGTTGAAACAACGTCTGTTACATTACGCATCTGGTGGAAAGCCGGGGTTACTCAGCTTCAGATGATGGTGGCGTCGTGATGGAAAACACACCACCTAACCCTACATGTGCTGAGAGTTCATCTGTCTTAGTACTTAATGAACAATTATCCTGTAGTTTACCACAAGTCCTGAAAGAAATATTAAATAACTGATTTATCAAGAAAAAATATAATAAATTGGTCTAAACCGAATCAGAATTAGTTTTTGTCAAATTGCAGAACACCAGTGAAGAGAGCAAACGTGAGGACGCTCTTCTTGTTTTCTTAAATAGATTCATGGACAAATGGTTTGTTTGTTTAGCGTCTTCATAGGGTTCTACAACCCCCCAAGGTGCTTCACAACGCATTCAGTCATTCATCCATTCACACGCTGATGATGAGCTACGATGTAGCCACAGCTGCCCTGGGGCACACTGACAGAGGCAAGGCCTGATGAACACTGGCACCAGCGGTCCCTCTGACCACCACCAGCAGTCAAGGCGCGTTTAATGTCTTGCCCAAGGACACAACAGCAGCATTCTTTTGGTCAGAGCCAGGATCGAACCTGCAACCTTTTGATTACTGGACAACCCGCTCTACCTCTTGAGATACTGCATCCTCCCTCCTCATCCTCCGTCCCTTACTCCCAAGTTTCTTTAAACCTGAGTTCAGATTTCAGATTTATTGGCCAAGTAAAATTACATTTACAAGGAATTTGTCTTCGGTAGATGTTCGCTCTCTAAAACATACAACAACCATAATAAATGAAGAATAAAAATACCTAAAAACACATAAGAACATGTATACCCACACACATGTTCATTTACACACACACATATATACATACACACACACACACGCACGCACAAAGTTCCTCCCACAGCTGTGGCAGAGGTGACCAGTGGCATTCTGAGATCTGTCATCTTTTGTTTGCACGCTCAGATTGATCATTTACTTCCACCTGTACAAAGTTAGATTAGCCCTATCGACTGGTTGCTTGTGAGTTTATAGCTCCACCTTCTAGCTGTTGGTTGTGAGCTGGTTTTAAGCAATTCAACTGGGCTTCACTGTTAGACTGATGTGTCACAGGAATGTGACACATCAGCCTAATGACAGTCTGATAAGCAGCAGCCTCTCGGCAAAACAAACCAGAGAAACCAGGCCTCACCCATATCCTCTAGCCCTCATCATTTCCTCAGATGTGGAGGTAGCTGCACTTAAACACCTATATCTGGTTTGTTCCACACCTGTGTGTAAACATTTGATCCTGCTGTGTAAAGTTAGGATGTGTGTTTGTGTATTTTCTGACTGTAAAGCTGCATGTTTGAGCCTGTAGGTGTTAGGAGTTGTTCTTTTCTGTCTTTCAGAAACCACTGCAGCCTGATATGGGTTATAATTTGTTGGCTAACTTCATGATTGAGAAGAAGATCGGACGTGGTCAGTTCAGTGAGGTGTACCGAGCCAGGTACCTGCTGGACAACACACCAGTGGCCTTGAAGAAAGTCCAGGTGAGGTGCTGTAAATACAAGTTTCAGTATCAGGCACGGTTAAAAGATTTATCCAAAGTTCAGATTTATGTCAACAGTATTTGTGAGAATTTGGTCAGTAGAGCATCTGCAGACCTGCTGACCTGTACGCATTCTGCATCTAATTACGCTGGTACGACTCACCCCTCTAAACTACGCAAAAAGCTGCGGACACGTGACTTCTGTAGCAAATATGCACGTGTGGTACTCATGTCTGACAACACGACTCAGCAGCGTGGGAAGACGTTTAAGCCAATCATTGTAGACACAGATCTGCCTAACCTATAGCGTAACACCCCCGCCTCTCTGCTCCATCCTACGTACTGCCCACTGCCTGTCTTTGCATCCTCCGGTTCCCACTCGCTGCTGCTCTGGCATTTAAAAAGGTAAACTGTCTGCCTGCCTGTCTGTCTGTCAGTCAGTGGAGCAGACCCGGCATGGGCGCCGCACCCATGGCGGATGTAAATGTTTTAGCACCCACATCTTTTCTAATGAGGAGGTTAAAAACGTCGACTCTTTACGATCAAAAACGTTACCATCAGTCTGCTCCCTCCATGTTTCTCGCTGTGTTTGCCCGCTCTCCCTCCCTCTCCTGCTGCCAGTCAAAACCCGCACATTTTTGCACCAATGTTACGTCAGTATTCTGGTCGGTTCTTTTGTTGAAACCCGTTTCTCCTACCGCTCCACACTCACAGAGCAAGCGGCAAAAACGCGCTCGCTCCTGCGGTGCGCTCTGCACACACACACGGCAGAACCGTAACCTCCGTGCATTAAAACATCCGGTTTGTGCTAAGCAACTTTTGATACTGGAGCTAATTCATTTGTTGAAGTTACGTGTACCAACCCTGCTAATGGATCACCTCAGAGACGGCTTGTCCATTAGAACTGGCTGAGCTCAAAATCTACCTGGACTCTTCAAACCTTAACTAGATGGTTTAAAACTAATAGCGAGTCCTTAAAACATAGTTTGTGATTTTTTTAAACCTTTATTTGGTTTGTTACAGTAGAAAAAAATACACACGTTTCATCTGGTCTGCCTTAGATTTGGTCCAGCTCATAGCTACAAACTGGACTAGATTATTCTACAATAACAGCAAATCTCTAAACGAGTTGGTAAAATGGGAAACCTTTAGTAGATTAGTGAACGTCCAAAGAAGGCAGCTTTCTTCAGTTATGTGTTGTGAGTTTGGATTATCCTGTTAGCAACATGTTTTTTCAGTACGACAGGTTTATTAACAGTAGGCTACGTTTATTTCAAGAGTTTATATTAGTCACCCATGAAATAAAACCTTTTATAATTAGAGTAGATTAAAGATGCAGAAAGTGGAAAACTTAGTTGGAAGTAACCTTTCCACATTAGAAACTAAAAAGGGAACCAATTCAGCTTTGTACAAAACAAACAACAATAAATAAATAAAATATAATGGGAAGAATGAATAATTACATTTTAGCCAAATAATTGAGAAAAAATAATCTAATTTAAAAACTGTGGCCATGCTTGCGACCCTCCAAACTACCTCACCGTGCATTTTGCACAATCTGCAATTACGATGTGGACATAAGCCACCAGGGTTATGTATAAATTAGCCTCGATGGTGTGTGCATTTGTGCTTTAAGCCAATTTAACCCTTTGATGCATGAATTATGAAATATTCAGCCATGATTTTTTTAACAATTTTTTAATTTGTCTTTAGGTGTGAATGAAACAAATTTCAACAAATATTTTTTGTAAAATTTTATAATTTACAAATCATTTATTACATGTCCATCTCAGTGGACAGCGTGCATTCTGAGCATGAAATATGTTGGCTTGGCTTACTGAAGTCCAAATGGAGGGGCTCAAATACAATAAAGTCGTCATCAGCTGTGCTTAATAGTAAAAATAAATAAATAACAATTTTGAGTACCTGTCCACTGTAGTGACCATTGTGCATCAAAGGGTTAATATTACATTCTTAAAAACAGAAACATCTATTGCAATATACTAAATAAATCCTTACCAGTAAATACTTATTAAATTGTTTTTATTGTTTTTGATTAGGTATTAAAATAATTCAAGGCAAGTAACTTGTGGCAATCAGCTTTTATAAACACACATTATATAAGGAAGACAAGTGCAACTGTTGGGTTTTACTGTTTAATATTAAAATACACGATACTTTGGACTATTCAAGAAGTTTCCAGCCAGTGAATGGGGACATTACAGTATGGAAAGCAACAGAGTTGCAAAAACCTGTGGTACTCAAAAACTGTTCACAAGGTTGGCAGGTCTGCATCTGTTTAGTCAATATTCAGTCATTACATTTGCCTCCATTAGGTTGTCCTAGAAAGGCTGATGTAGCTACTGAAGTATCATCATGTACAACAATATAAGTGAAGAGTTTTCACTTATTTTAAAAGCTGCCAGTTGCTAAAATAATGGTTTTGTTGGCTGTCTTTGGCTAGAATATTTCCCATGAGCCTTTGCTGCAAATGCAGCAGTGATGATTTGTTTACTTGAGATGAGAAACACTGACTGATGGCTAATTCAGTTAATCAGTACTGGCTTAAAACAGTTATGTAACAACTAATCAGGTGCATCCGGCTGGCTGCTGTCACAACACTAATGTGTTGTTTACATTTAAAAAGCCACACAATATGAACATCTCCATATGCCCATGAGAAAAACCACTGGGTTTAAGGATCTCTCAGTGTCCTCCCTTACTTTCTGCTCTTTTGATCTCTTGATAGATATTCGACTTGATGGATGCCAAAGCTCGGCAAGATTGCATCAAAGAGATAGATCTCCTTAAGGTAAAGAAGCAGAGAGGAGGGAGACGGCCCCGTACGCTGTGCTCTGTTCTCTTAAGCTGAGACCCACCACCACCACAGGAAAACAGCAACTCCTATTCTGTTCTTATCTATTGATCTTGGTTTATTTGTGTAACTTTTTGACATTTATAATTTTGTCAATAGTTGATAGCCATCTGGGATCACACACACGTATTCTTACATGCAGCCATACTCAGTCGTTGCCATTCAACAGATGCCTGTTCATCTGTTTCCTCATTAGTTTTGACTCTTCTGGGATCTGTTTTCATTCCAACAGCAACTGAACCACCCCAACGTGATAAAGTACCACGCGTCTTTTATCGAGGACAACGAGCTCAACATAGTCCTAGAGTTAGCGGATGCTGGGGACCTCTCTCGTATGATCAAGGTCAGAAACTTCTAGCGTTTGATAAATGTGGTCGGGTTTGGTGTTTAGTTTTTCTTATTTATGTACTTCACTTGGTCCACGCTTTCAAGTAAATCTGCTACTTCAAAAAAAACCTTTTTTAATAGAAAATAAAAATCAACTTCTAAACAAGCCTGAGCTCCAAACATGATTTTAAATCACGTGATTATTTATGGCCGTAATCTTCCTGCTAGAATTACGTTGTTGTCTTTTAAAAAATGAAAATATAATGAACAAGATAGGAATCGGCACACTTCAATCTGCGATGTGAGACCTTTATTAGTCGAGCTTTCGGTCAAAGACCTTCATCAGGAGTTGTGAAGGTTCACACAAAACAGTCCTTAGTTAAACAGGACAGTTGATGTCAGACACCTGTGTGGCTGAATACAGCTGAGCATCATGGGAAATAGAGTCTCAGTCAATGAAAACAGTGCACTTCACATTAAAAACATGAAAAAAAAAAACACGTGATAAAGTCTCTATTGGAAAAACAACAAGGCCGCTCAAACAGAGGATCGGGGAACATAAGAGTTCAATTAGGAGAAAAGACTTGACCTATCCAGTAGCACGCCATTTGAATGACTTTTCACACCCTGTGTCTTCACTCAGATTCCAGGGGATTGAACATATTTCATTACATAGAGGAGGTGATGTAGAAAAAAAAACTCTGCCAAAGGGAACTGTTCTGGATCTACATGTTGAAAACACTTCAACCACTAGGTTTAAATGAGGATTTTGAGATGTCTGTGTTTCTTTAACGAAAGCATATACTGCTGTATTTGTATATACGTCATTGCCTTGCTTTATGATAGCCTTTTTTAGCTTGATGTTTGCAGTGTAGAAGTCTCTCTCCTTTTGAGCTGATTTAGAATGTTTTTAATGTTAAGTGCACTGTTTTCATTGACTGAGGACTGAGACTCTATTTCCCATGATTCCCGATCTAACAGTGGAATAATTCTGCTTCAAAAGATGTACTTGTGGTGGCAGAAACTCATCCCGCTGACAGAAGGAGACGCTCCTGTATGTAAACACAGTTCAACGCTTCGCTGACGAGCGAAACAGCAGCTGCATCGGTCACATGACTACTTCCTAAACGATGCGCACACCGACACGGGTGTCGCTCTAATGAGCCAGATATGTGCACCGGTGTGTCAGTGTTGCTGGACCCATCACTACCGGCTACTGATTCTCAGTGTTGATCAATAAGCTTTTAGTCCTAAACTGAGTCTGCCATCGCTCGTGGCTTTTTGGTGAAGGACCACAGTCCTAACCCTAACCTCTGTGCCACTGTAACATGTGCGTAACTGGAGTCCTGTCTGCCAGATGGGAGGTTATAAACACACAGTATAAACTTTAAAACTGATTTATTTTTAAACTTTTTTTTTCCTATTTCTCTTAAAGTGCTGTCTTTCTGCTGCATGAGATGTTAACCCTGATTCTATAATTTGGTGTGTGTGTGTGCGTGCGTGTGTGTGTGTTTGTGCTCCTGTATTTACTTGCTACAGCACTTTAAGAAGCAGAGGAGGCTCATCCCAGAGAGAACCGTGTGGAAGTATTTTGTCCAGCTCTGCAGTGCACTTGAACATATGCACTCCCGACGAGTCATGCACCGAGGTAATGTTGTGGTACACACACATGCTCAATGTCAATAAATATGAGTAAACCGTTAAGGATTTCATCATTTGTGCTAAAAATGTAATCAGTACTCTTAAGCCAATGGATTGTCTCTTCGTCTGATGAAGTTGTATTTTATGGAGGAGATGTTTTAATATGGTTCATTCTGTTAACTTTGAAATAAAGAAAACAGAAATAGCTCAAAAACCCTTTAGTAAACTAAAGGTCATCCATTCATCCATTTATTTTTTTCCTCATATCTGAGTTTGGGTAACCGCCCGGTTCAGGAGGGAAGCCCAGGCGTCCATCGACCCAGCAACATTCCCCTTCACCGTCTCAGAGATCTCAAAGCATTCCAAGGCAGGAGAGGATATACTATCAGTTCTCCAGTGAGCTCTGGGTCTTGCTTAGGGTCTCCTCCCAGTGGAACATCCTTGGAAACCCCCTAGAGGAAGGTGGCATCTTAATCAGATGCTCGAGCCACTTCAATTAACTCCAGTGCAGCAGTGGATGATCTCCTCACCTTATCTGTGCTTATTTCAGCTGCTTGTATCCAGGATTTCTTTTGTTATCATGATCCACATCTCTTGACCGTAGGCGAGGGTTGGAATGTTCACCAAATGAGACTGGCTCAAAGCCCTCCTTACTGAGGATGAAAGGAACATCCCACCATTCTCCATCCAAGGACTTAGCCTTAGATTGACCGTCTCTCATCCCATCAGCATCGCTGATGGACTACATCAGCGTGACTGCAAATCATCCCAATGCACATGGAAAATCCAGGCTTGAAGACGGCAACAAAACCATCTTCAAAAAGCAAATATGACCTCCTGAGGTTCCTAAACTACAATCAGGATCTAGGACCAAGGGCAGCCCTGGCGGAGGTCAACCCTCACGGGGAGCAAGTGTTCTCCTAGTGCCAAGAATACGTCTCTGCTCTTGCTTTGGTCGTACAGGAACAGGATGGTCCTTACAAGCTGCTTCTGCATCTTACTCATTCAGAACACCCCCACAGAGTAACTGAGGGGACGGTGTTGAGCCTTGTCCAGGTCCACAAAACACATGTGGAATGGACACTGAAACTCCCATGACAAACTCACCAACTCTGCAGGGTTAAAGAGCTGCTCCACGGGTCCTCTTTGATCCAAACCTGGACAGTCAGAACCTCCTTTCCAAGACCCTAGAGTAGGGGTTCTCAGTCCTGGTCCTGGTTCTTCATCTGGAGGGCCAGTATCCAGCATGTCTTAGTTGTTTCTCTGCTCCAACACACTTTATTCAGTGGTTGATTTTCCTGTTCAGCAGCTCATCAGGCTCTGCAGAAGCCTGTTAATCACCTGCTGATTAAAATCAGGTGTGTTGAAGGGTAACCCACTAAAACATGTTGGATACTGGCCCTCCAGGACCAGGGTTCAGAACTCCTGCCCTGGAGTAAACTTTCCCAGGTAGTTTTTATTTTTGACAGAAGAAACTACTAAAGTCTAGAATGTAATGGAGCCTTGTTGATTAGTCCTGGTTTATTAGAACAAACTTCTGTTCATTCAGACTCACTTTGTTACAGCTGATGTTCTTTTATTAGGATACAGGGACACTGATGAACCCTGAGCTTTAACATCCACGTAGCAGGAAGCCCTTATTCGAGAGTCGCTATATAACTTTATAGCTGTAAATGTGAAATAATTACTACACGGGTCACATTAGCATTACCGTAATTTCCGGACTATAGAGCGCACCTCAATATAAGCCGCACCAGGCTAAAAGCCGCAGATATCTACTGAATTGAAAACGTAGTTTAACTCAACGTAACTGAACTGATCAGTATCAAACAAAAAAGAAGTTATTGATTAGTTTATTCATCGTCCTCCTGCGCACTGAAACCACTAAAGTCATCTTCTTCAGTGTCGGAGTTGAACAGCCTCAGAAGAGCTTCGTCACATACCTTTTCTGTGGCAATGTCAGTGTCGCTCTCCGTGTTGCTGTCATCATCAAGCAGCGCTGTTTTACCCCCAAATTCCACTACCTTCGCTCCGCTCCGACACGAACGCCGGAGCAAAATCGTTCCCGTTGTAGTCAATCAGAGCAATTCCACTACTGCGGCCGTGCTCCGGCAGTGCGGCGCCGTGCGCCGCCCTCTGTTCCGGCGTCCGGCAAAAATAGAATCGATCCTATTTTCACCGGACGCCGGAGCACCTCTGCAGTAAATGGACAGAAATCACAACTGCCCAACAGGAAAAGGAGCAAGCACAACTTCCGTTTTTCACAATAAATCGATAAACAAAAGGCGTTTTTTGTTTCATATGCACAGGTTTAACAACTTTTAACAACTATCAATGGCGGCTGAAGTTTAAATGCACAAAAATAAGCCATAAATACAGTTTCTACGATCAAAGTAGTCACACTTTGTTGATCCAAACACTGCTGATCCCTCAACACAAATGATGGGCAGATTAAATAGTTCATGCCGATGCTTCTCCCACACAACGGGTGTTTGGATCTAACTTCCGCGTTTATTGCTCGGACTGTATCGCAAGATCTCGAAAATCCCGCGCATGCTTGTTTGCCCACCTCAGGTCTCCGCACTGGAGCGGAGCCGTTGTAGAGCGGTACCAAGAAAAATTGAGTTTGGAAGCGAGCGGCTGCGGAAGGCGGGGGCGGACCGGAGCGGAGCGGAGGTAGTGGAATTTGGGGGTTACTGTGAAAAAAATCCTCCTGGGCGCTTTCCGTAGCGCTCCTTTAACCATTCCTTCATTAGACTTTCCAGCATCCATCCTTTTTGGTTGACTAAAGCCGCACCTCATTATAAGCTGCATGGTTCAAAGCGTGGGAAAAAAGTAGCGGCTTATAGTCCGGAAAATACGGTATTTTAGAAAACAGCTTGCTAACGCCCACATTAGCTGAATTATATTTTAGCGTCTGTAATCCAGATAATATTTTGTTTGCTGGCTTTAAACAGAACTTTTGCCAGATCAATTAGGAAAAAAGTCTGCAAACTGTGACATCTTTTCTGTTTTCCCTGTTTTCTTTCCTTCTTTCCTTTCCTCAGATATAAAGCCTGCAAATGTATTCATCACAGCTACTGGAGTAGTGAAACTGGGAGACTTGGGATTGGGAAGATTTTTCAGCTCCAAAACAACCGCTGCTCACTCTTTAGGTATTTTACAAAAATAATCAATTCTGTTTAATTCATATGATAGAAAATCAACCCCAATCAAATGGTTTTCAAAAGATCGTAATCAGGTGGAAAAGACAGGATAAAACCATATAAAACAACAAGCAGTTCATGCTAATATTTCTAATGTTACTTGGTTGTGAATTTAACAAGTTCCACTACACAGGGTACCCGCAGGTCCTTAAAAACCTTAAATTGGGCTCCCTTAAACCTGCAGAGACCCTACACTACATCAGTATTGTTTTGTTTCTTGGATGACGACAACATAACTTCAATCAGTGGCAGGCAGGAAATTCAGATACCATAACATTGAGCTCTTAGCTAGTACGCTAAAGCAGAGCTAATGTGCTGACTCAAGAGCAAAAATGTCTGCAGTTTGGATGTATTTTAAACCGGAAAGCGAAGCCAGAGCAACAAACTTGAAATGTGTGCATACTGGGTATTTCACATGGTGGGAAAAGACAGAGCTGCGTGATACGAAGCCTTAAAAACAAACTCGGCTTTTCCCTTCAGAAGTCACCAGAGCTGTCTCCATTTAGACCTAGTCTGCCACTAAAAAGAGACTATATCACACAGGGCAGCAGTAGCTCAAGAGGTTGAGCAGGTTGTCCAGTACTCGGAAGGTTGCAGGTTCGATCCCGACTTCGGACAGAGAATGCTGCTGTTGTGTCCTTGGGCAAGACACTTTACCTGCCTTACCTGCTGGTGGTGGTCGGAGGGACCGGTGGCACCTCTGTCAGTGCGCCCCAGGGCAGCTGTGGCTACACCGTAGTTCATCATCATCAGTGTGTGAATGTGTGTGTGAATGGGTGAATGATGCACCTGATGTAAAGCGCTTTGGAGTTCTCTGACTCTGAAAGGACGCTACACAAGAGCTGATCAAAATCCCCTTTTTGGAGCTTTTAACTGTGTTTTGTGGTTATTTCCTTTTTAAAACACCCTCAAGGTGGCAATGGCTGAATGGTAAACGCCCACGTGAATCTAAAGCAAGCATGAGTCTGCAGTCTCCGGTTGGAGACTTGTGTTTCATCGAATCTAAGCGTCTTTCAGGGTTGAAGTAATGGCCCACAAAAATAACATCTATTTTGGAAAAAAATGGCATCACTAAAGTGCCAGTGTTAATATTGTCTCATGTATTGTGCCTGTAAATGCACAATATGCCTGTAGATGTAAATTTTCATGATACAGATAAAAACAAACACCCTGCTTAGAGTTCACTGCAGCAACTCGGACAGAAACACAGAGCCAACTGATGCTGAATGCTGTGTTAAAAAACAAAACAAAAATTGGCTGCACAGAGAAAAAAGGGAACAGCCATAATAGCAGTAACTAATACTCTGGATGACCGTCTGTGGTTGCAAAGGCTGTTCAGCTAAATGTTATATATGTAGAAGTGGTAAATTGAGTGCTTTAAGAGCGTATTATATTACTTCTTATGACCAATAAGCTGTGATACTCTATCTAAATATAGAATATCAACCTGCTTGGTCTTGGGGTTTAATCAGAAGATTCTAGGATTCATTGTTTATGCAGGGATTGTAAACAATTCGTCTTGATTCAAGATAGTCAGGTTTGTAAAAGTAAGAATTTATTTTCCAAGCAATTAAAACATGACAAGTTAACTAATATTTACTGTGATAGGTGGATCTATATGGAGGAGATGTAGTACATGGTGCCTATGTGTGAATATGATGTTATCAGAACTTCTGTATCTAGGAAGGCTGAGTTCTGGGTGTAAAAGGGAAAGAATTTGGTTTGCATTAAGCTATGAAGTTGATTATCAAAAACATCAGACGCTATCTGTGTGTCTACTTCACCCGTTCTCGGAGACCCTCTTCGTGGATCCGAAGGTCAGAAAGGTCGGATGACCTCTGGCACCGAGGGCTGTAGAGTACCCATAGCACAGACTCTTCAATCCAGATGTCTCGGGTCACGACAGATGGATGGAACCGTGCGTCAGACGGACTTTTAAGGAGTCGGAACAATATCAGCTTTGTTCTGCAGGAACCGTTTGCTGTGTCAGCTTTGCAAAAACCTTGACGGCGTGTCAAAGGTTGCTTCTGGACTTCATTACGGACGGCCGTTTCCGTAGCTTCCTCTAGAACTCGAACTGAACGATGAGAGCTGGAATGCGACTCTGACTGCTGAATCACCAGAGTGATTCTGTTTTAATATTCTCATGTTATGATTTGTATGGCTAATTGGAGGTTGACATGTTGAGGAATATTACCAAGACAGCCTCAGAAAACACGCTTTCTCAGATACCGGATGCTCCGATCTGGGGTAAAGAAATATCTACGTGTCACGCGTTTGACTTAACTTTAATTTGTCCTTATGAACCTTGTGTGAGTGTAGATGATGATGGCCTTGTCATATCAAACATTACTGACCCATATATAAATCAATGTAATACTTCATTTCATAGATTAATCAAAACCTTCCATTTAGTGTTCATATAACATTTGTTCATCAACCAAATTATTCTTTAATGATTAATTAACCTATAAGTTTTAAATGTTCACATTATATTTAAGAGTTAATTCTTTGATTAAGCAACTCATCTGAGCTGAGAGTGTTCACTTTATTCAGAGGCATGAAGAGTCCTGTAGAACGATAAGAGAAGCTTGAGGCTTTGAGGAGGGAACATGATTGTTGACAATACGTTATCATGTGTTCAGAGCTTCAGAGAGGCTCTGAACTCCAGCTGATGGGATGCAGAATCCGACAGATTAAAGGAAACACGTGCAGACTCCTGTCTCCATGTCGACCAGACATTGAAGGGTCAAACTGCACTTGAAAACTGACCATTTCTGGACATTACATAGATTAGAAATTTAAGAAAACAATCTGCAGGCAAATATAAGCAAAGCTGTTCTCATCACCATCTTTATGAGAAACTGTTATTACCATTAACCATTCTGACCCGCTGACGGGCTGATTCTCTAAAGCTCTGCCATTCGCCGTGGCAGACCGAATCAGAAATGCTCACTGGGCTTATTCTCTTGACTATTGTTTCAGATCATTACGAAGCTGCACTGATAAAAGCGCTTCATGTGTATCGTTTTTATAAGACTCTAAAAAGAAAAGAAATATTGAAATGTTTCTATTTTTCCTCTTGTTTCCCTCCTCATCCCGGTGTTCCAGTGGGTACTCCTTACTACATGTCACCAGAGAGGATACATGAAAACGGCTACAACTTCAAATCGGACATCTGGTCGCTAGGATGCCTTCTCTATGAGGTCAGTTGCTGTCCTCGGTTATTCATGGCTTTTAACGCTGAGTAAAGCTTGTGATGCTTATCTGAAATACATAAATACTCTTTGGAGTTGTGTCATTACGTCTCGGATGCATTTGTGTACCGTATTGTTGTTAGACTGATCTGACATGTCCAGAAAATAATGTTTGGATTAACAAACACAGAATACAGTATTTTAATGTTACACTACCAGTTCAGTGACCTAGTGGTAGAGTGTCAGCTCTGGGACTGGGAGATCAGGGTTCAAATCCCGGTCGGGTCATAGCAAAGACTTTATACTGTAAATGGGACCCAACGCCTCCCTGCTCAACACTCAGCTTTAAGCGGTTGGATTGGGGGTTAAACCACCAAATAGTTCCCCGAGCGCGGCCACAGCAGCAGCTCACCGCTCTACGTGGAGATGGGTCAGATGTGGAGATGTAATTTCACCAGTGTGGGACTTTAACATTTAGTCTCTCACCGTGTCGTCTTGTCTTTGTTTCTTCACGTCTTCAGATGGCCGCCTTACAGAGTCCCTTCTACGGGGACAAGATGAACCTCTACTCCCTCTGCAAGAAGATAGAACAGTGCGACTACCCCCCTCTTCCCTCGGATCACTACTCAGAAGAGGCAAGTTTCGTCATCTGTTGTCTTTTTATTTATTTTGCCACAAATTGCATGTTGACTCGGACCTGAGTTCACTAAAGGGCTTGTGAGTCAGTTGTAATTTTAACTTTAGCCTCTTCTACTAACTTTCAAAGGTCCTAACAAGCATCGTTTATGGTGTGTTTGTTTATGAGAATTTGCTATTTAAAATCACTAAAGTAGCCGTGTTACCACAGAGGGGGGACAGGGAAAACATGATGACTCGGTCCTCTCAGCCATTGTGTCTATACAGAATCATCCCTTTCACAACTTTGCTAAGATGTCAGCATATCACCGCCATTTCGGCACTGGGTGATGTCACTGATCAGTGCCACAAGTCCCACCCACCGACCCTACCGAGCCATTTAGAAGTGCATAACCCAGTTCAATATCTCTGTTGGTCCCTGAAGTGACCAGGAAAACGGTCCTTTTGGAACGGCTCGATGAAACGTATACACGCATATACCGGGAAGCATGCGAAGGTGTAAAATCACACACAAACGGACCTATTAACTAAATGACTTCTCTTTCTCGCTCTTAATCATCCCACCCCCACCCCTGTCCCTCTCACCAGCTGAGGAACCTGGTAGATATGTGCATCAACCCCGACCCAGAGAAGAGGCCGGACATCGCCTACGTTTACGGCATCGCCAAACACATGCAGAACGTGACGCTGGGCTGTTAAACCCAGAGCTCCTCACACTAAGCCCTGCGGAACTCCTGCTCACATCCACTCCTGCTTCTCCTGCTGGACTCAGAATACAGATGTCCCTTCTTACACAAAACCTTCTCCATAATTTAGCTCCTTGTGAAAACTGGTACAATAAACAGAAATTTACAGTTTATGTTCAGTCTGAAGCCAGGATGCAGCCTTCCAGATGTTTTTATTTTTCACTTTTAACATTTAAAATATAAATCTTTTAGAACAGTTTGAGAGTTTCAGCTTCGGTAGGTGATGTCCGTCTCACCCACGGCTGTGAACATCACACTTGTTCGGTTTACCTCAGTCAGTGGCCTTCAGACATTTAAAAAACAAAATCCCATCTTTTTGAGCTTTCAACAGTACTATAGCAGTCCTACACCTCTGCCCTGGCACTATTTGGTATTTGAACTTTCACTAATAGTCATGAATACAATTTTACCGTCTAGACGAATCCTAAAGGAAACCCAAACTTTATTGAGAATAAAGTTTTATCTTGCATTTTATCTTCATCAACAGCACATCTGAGACAAAACAGAGTTATTGATGGTTGAAATGTTGTGTTGCACATGTTATACTGGTACTGGAAGGCTGGTAAGGTTATGTCAGAACAGAAAACATTTAAGTGATAGACTGGAGACGTGCTCAAGGGGAACGTGCATAAGCGTTTACATTTAAAGTAAATATTCTAAGGTTTTGTGGAGTCGCGAAGAAGACGAGCATAAAACAAAATCACTTCATATTTCATCCAGTGGATGCATATAAACCCCCACAGAGGTGGGTTGAGTGTTAAGTGTTGCAGATTTTCTTTCATGCAAAACGAAAGGTAATGAAACATTTACTTGTCCAGCTGTGCATGTTGGGAGTGATCCACAGAGGGGCTAAGAGGAAAGTTACATTCAGCAGTACATATGTAAAAGTACTGTTTATTTTGATCAGAATATAGAAAATAAAGCATCAGTGGGATGAGTTTGTTCTACTGTAAATGGCAAAGATAAGGAAAAGAATCCCGCCAGGATGAACTTATTCCTGTAAACATGTTTTTTTACAGTAATAAAGGTTTACAGCAAGTTTCTGAACGAGCAGCGCCGACTGGCACCGTTTTATAGCGAGACACGGTGAAGGCAAACGATCAGAGTTAATGTTTCATCTTCACGTTATCAAACAACCTGGTGACCTTCATTAAAACTACAGAATGGTTTTGAAATGTTTTTCTGTTAACGTCTAACAATGTGCACCTGTATTATAAAAGCAATTATAAATATATAGGACTAAAAACTAACCTTTTATGGCCAAAAATATTTTGAAAACACGTTTATTGTTGTAGATTTAAAGACATTTTCAGCAAAAACTGTTTTCTCTTAAGTTTAGACATTTCTCAGGATTTTGCCCCTTTCATGTTTTAATTCTTTAAGCATCACCTTTCTTCTTCAGTTTCATTCATGTTCTTGAAAGGAGAACATCTGGATCACACCAAAACATTTCAGTATTCGGTTTTATTTGTTGAAACGCCGTTGCTTTTAAAGCACTTTTTACAGATTTTGGTAGATTTTCCAAACTGGTGCAGCAGTCTAAACTAAAGCAGATGCTCCAAAAGGCTTCCGGAATCAGACTTTACTAGTTTTCTTTCATCAAATTTACTGTTTCGTTTAGTCACCCAGAAAGTGAATTTACTTTGTTTTTTAAATAAACCAAAGAAAATCATATCAAAAACCATTTGTGCTGAAATAGTTGTTTATGTACTAAAATGTATTTTTCCTCCTTCCAAAGGGGGCATTTCACACAGAGCTCAGTCACTTTAATGATTTAGGCTTTTTCTTGTTTGATTTGTGTCTGCATGTGTCTGACGTACCGAGTTTACTTCTGCATGTCCACTGATGTTTGTGTGAAACTGTCCAGAAACGATAAAATATTGACAATATTTATTGTCTTGGTAGTTTTAGTTGCTCTTTCAACATTGAAATGCCTGTATTACAAACGCCTTGTATGTAAAGTGAATTTATTAAAGCTTTAAAAACGTCTTTTTGTATATTGGACTGACTGAAGGTTTATCCAGACATCAGTTGGATTCACACCTGAGTTCTAGAGTGACTTGATTATTTTCTTCCTCCAACCCAGACTGTGCTCTGGATCCACCTCATCCCTCACCATCAGATGTGGGTTTCTGTACTCGTGCTTTTATTTGGCTCAGCAAATTACAAATATGACATTCATAGTAATACAAAAAAAAAGTCTGCTATGACAAGCAGTCATAGCAGATTACAGAGCTTGCATAGCAGACGAGCACTGCCTCTCCATTCTGGACAACATCTGTCCTGTCAGAACCAGATCAGTTCCTGCAGTGAACCCTACTCCCTGGTTTACTGACAGCCTTCGCAGCCTGAAGCGCCAATGCAGAAAAATTGAGCGTTTGTGGATGAAAACCCATCTCCACGTCCATCTGCTGCACCTGAAGGATCTTTTGACACCCTTGAACTCTGCAGTCAGAGACGCTACGCTTTCCTATTTTTCCAACCTGGTGTCCCAGAGCAAAGGGAACCCCAAGGTGCTGTTTAACACCATCAGCAGCATCGTCTCTCCTACAGCCTCCATCCACTCTGTTACAGACAGGTCTTTCTTTGTGGACAAAGTCAATAAGGTGAGATCTAGCATCTCTCCTTCAGCCTTATCGCTGCCTCTCCCGACTCCAACCAGGCCCATCATCCTAGATAGCTTTGCTCCTGTTTCTTTGCCTGAGTTAACCAAACGAGTTAACTCTATGAAGACCTCTGCATGCCCCGTCGACATCTTACCCTCATCTTTGTTTAAAAGTGCTTTTCAGTCCATCGGTCCCAGCGTGCTCTCTATAATTAATGCTTCTCTGGTCTCTGGTCAGGTCCCTGCTTACTTTAAGAACGCTGTAATCCACCCGCTTCTTAAAAAACCGAGTCTCGACCCCTCTCTCTAGCAGCTTCAGACCCATCTCTAAACTTCCGTTCATCTCCAGGATCTTGGAAAAGGTTGTAGCTTAACAACTCACAGCTGCTCTTGATGAACATAACATCTATGATTGCTTCCAGTCAGGTTTTCGTGACAGCTCTTCTTAGGGTCTCTAATGACCTTCTGACTCACAGTGATGCAGGGGACTGTTCTGTTCTGGTCCTGTTGGACCTGACTGCAGCCTTTGACACTTGACCATCACCTGCTACTTGAGAGGCTGAGAAACTGGGTAGGACTATCAGGAACTGCTCTGGAGTGGTTCTCCTCTTATCTTTCTGAGTGCTCCTTTTCTGTGGCCGTCTCCAAGTTTAGGTCCTCCACCACCTCTCTTACCCATGGTGTCCCACAAGGTTCTGTGCTTTGGCTTCTGCTCTTCCTCCTCTATCTGCTTCCTCTTCAGCACATCCTGAGCTCCTTCAAAGTAATCTCCTACAATCTTTATGCAGATGACATCCAACTGTACATCTCCTTTAAGCCCCACGAGATGTCTAAGCTGCAGCTGTTACACACCTGCTTAGACTCTATCAAAACCTGGATGGCTGGGAGCTTTCTACAGCTGAATGAAGATGAGACTGAGATCCTCATCTGTGCCCCAGACAAGCTGGTTCCCAAAGTCAGAGATTCTCTTGGTCAGCTTGCTTCTCACACCAAACCTTCTGTTAGGAATCTTGGTGTGACCTTTGACCCAGCTCTCACCCTGGATTCTCATGTCAGTTCTCTTGTTCGCTCTTCCTTCTTCCATCTCAGGAACGTTGCTGAGTCCCATTCTGTCTCACTCTGAACTTGAGACAGTTATCCACACCTTCATCTCCTCACGCTTAGACTACTGTAACTCTCTTTTCACGTGTCTGAGCAGAACCTCCCTGAACCGTCTACAGGTGGTTCAGAATGCCTGTGCTCGGCTTCTGACCAAGTCCTCCAAACACACCCACATCACCCCGCTTCTCCTCCAGCTTCACTGGCTGCCAGTCAACTTCAGGGTTCATTTCAAGATCCTGGTTCTGGTCTATAGGGCCTTACATGGACAAGCACCATCTTACATTGGTGATCTTCTTAGTCCCTACACCCCCAGCAGGTCCCTGAGGTCCAGTGATCAAAGCCTACTGGTTGTGCAGCACCAGGCTAAAGACCAAAGGTGACAGATCATTTGCTGCTGTGGCCCCCAGACTCTGGAACTCTCTCCCCCTGAGCCTGAGATCAGTGGACTCAGTGCTCTCCTTTAAAAAGCAGCTGAAGACTCACTTGTTCAAGCTGGTTTTGTATGACCTTCTTCAACCACTCTCTCTTTATTCTGCCCTCCCTACCTATTCCACCCTCCTCAGGATCCACTGATTTTCCTCTTTCCTATTCACTCTCTCTTTCTTAACATTTTTTATCACAATTGTCTATTTTTTGCTCATTTTAAATATATTTTTAACCATTTTCAAAAAATTTTTTTGTGTTTTTACATTTTTTGTTTTTTGTGAAGCACCTCGTGATTTTTATCTTGAGAGACGCTATAGAAATATTTTCTTCTTCCTCTTCTTATGTCAAAATTACAAAATATACTTTGTTGCTCTAGTTCCAATGAAAGTGTTTTTATAACACAAAAGGTCAAATCCATCATTTAGCAGCACGTCTCCTAATGCATCAAACTTGAAACAATTACAGAATAAAGAGCATTTTAAATTTGTGTGATCAAAACATATTTAGTTAATCTGCTGTTTCCAAAATGCAAATTATAACTGGTAACAGTAACATGACCATGTTTATAACAAATCTCTAATTCCACAAACACCCCTAAATGCCCTTTATGATGAAATGCAGGTGAGAGAACCAATAGCAACATTTTTAACCTATAGACGATCCAGCTGCTGCATCTGTCCAGCTGAACATTTCGATTCTCCTTAAATTTGAATCTTGCTCACTCTGTCGCTGACTTCATCAAAGTAGTTATCAGCAAAGCGCAGCATCTGGATGACGGCGCTGAGCAGCAGGACGTCACAGTTCAGGTCCAGCTCCAGATCTCTGGTGTAGTTCTTTACTGGAACGATGCAAGAGAGGGGCACGCCCAGTTTGGTGCTGACCACCTCCATCTGGAGTAGAAAACATTGTCATTTAAAAACCAAGTCTAATTGTGTGTGTGTGTGTGTGTGTGTGTGTGTGTAAAAATCTCACCTTTTCTTCAATGTATTCACTTCTATAAACGTTTCTTAGATCGTCTTCCACCAACGGGCAGGCCTCATCTACTTAAGTGAGTAAAACCATATGAGGAATCCCTGGAGACATGAACACAATTACATTTTTAAGTATCCTGTAGATTTTCAGAAACGCAGCCCTAAAGGAACATTAACTTAATGTTTATGGCCTTTAAAGTTAAAACAGGGCAGGGGTGCCCAATCATGGTCGTGGAGGACCACTATCCAGCATGTTGTAGTTGTTTCCCTGCTCAAACACATTTGATTAAATAGTTAAATCACCTGTTCAGCAAGTCATCATGCTTTGCAGGAACCTCACCTGATAATAATCAGGTGTGATGGAAAAAGGAAATGACTAAAACATGCTGGACAGTGGCCCTCCAGGACTATGAAAACAGCTAGTCCAAGTCACACGATCTACGTCCGGTCCATGGGTCCCGTCTGTGTTTGTTTCTTCTTTAAGAGAAATTTTACTTTCAGTGATGCTTCACAAAAATGCAGCAATCAGCTTTACAAAACAGCAGACCTCTGTTGTACTGACCCTGCAGGTTAACCTTGCTGCGGATAGCTTCCAGCTTCTCCTCCAGCTTATTGGACATAATGGAGACCTTACAGGTGTCGAAGACATAAACCACACAGTGGATCTTGTCCTTGAGCTCTAGCCGTGACCTTCTGAAAGCAGAGGAGCAGCAGGGTTGAACTGCAACAACGTGTGAGGAGAAAGAGATTTCAAGAGATACTTTGCAACTTTTCATTATTAAATCATTTTCTTGATAGGCTGGTCAGCCAACCCCACGCGTCCTTGTATAAATAAACTGAATTGAATTAATTTGTTTGATTTCGTGATGGACTACTGCTGTAGACACAGGAGCAGTTAGATTAAGGTGTTAAAAGGACAAATGCAGAGCAAGTGTTTCATATTTGGATTTACTACCTGGACACTAGGTGGTGCTAAAAACCATCCAAAACTACAAAGGCTCCTTTTAACACCAGACACATTCCTGTTTGATGCAACATCCAGGATGTAGTTAAATACCTGGTAAGAGTCGGTCAGGTGACTCTGAAGGATGCTGCTGATGTCATCTACATTAAGCCCCGCCCCTTTGCTCTCATCCAGTCCCATGGTGTCACACAAGGCGATTGGCAGAAGTTTGCCTTCTCGTCCATCTTTTAGAGAGTAGGCTCTAAACTGCAGAAAGAGACACAGAGATGGTGGAAGGGATTTTATTCTTGAGAACCTGAAGCAGAAGAAGTGAGGCAGAGACAGACCTGTGTGGTGAGGCTGGTGGAGGAACTGCTAGACATGGCCTGGTTGGTGATGTGGCCTCTGAACACAGAGTTGATGGAGTTAAAGAAGCTGGACTTTCCAGCTCCGAGCGGTCCGATCATCAGAACTCGAGCCTGAGACACAGAACTGACTGTGGGTTTGTAGGTTCTGATGCGCTCCATCTCCATTCTCCCTGCAGAAAAGAGAAAACGACTTTTAGGTTCATTTTGTTGGATGTTTAGACTTTGATCTGCTACAAGCATGTATTGTTCTCTATTTTATATTTCAGAAAACTCCAAATTGACAAATGACCTCTTAGAACAAAAGTGGCAGCCACGAGAAGTGTTTTATTTTAAAATCCTAAGAAAGTTTTCATTTTCTCCCTCAGCATAGCTCTATACAGCCCCCTCTGTAGATTTATTTTGCTAATTTTCAGGGACATCATCGTCCCTATACCAAAAATGATTTCACACTGTTCCAGTTTTTGCTGCAGATTTATTTGGAAGTATGCTAAAAAGAAGGTAAAACTGCGACCATATACCAGAACCGTTGTTCATATTTATTTCTACACGTTTTTTTTTACTCACAAAGATTGTCAAGAAAGCGAGTTAATGTCAAATTAAACTGATCACAAAACACAGATTTATTTTCTTTATTTCGTTTTCCTCATCCAACCCCCATAAATCCCTGTGTGTCCTCCTGCAGCACTCCAACAACTGGCAAAACAAGACAAAAAAGTCCGACGTGTTTTGTAAAAACTGCTATTTTTAGCATACGTTTAGGTCCGACGTGTTGCTACCAGACGTACAGTGTGAGCAGTCGGGTCGCATCCGAGAACTGGGTCATGCAGTGTGAGCGCATGACTCGTGAGATCTGCTCTGTGAGGAAGTCGTACAGTTTGAGCTGAAGCTGAATGCTACGAGTGAAAAAGTCGCAGTGTCCGCCCAGCTTTACGGGGATTTATTTCCACAGCTGGTTCTTTTTGGAGTAAATCCAGTTCAAGATGGCTGCCAACCTTAGGTTCATTTTCTCCAACACAAATGAACTCAGGAAAAATTCAGATATTAACGAAATGAGAGCTGAGCTGAGTCACTAACTCACCCTTTTAGAGAACAGTACAGCTCGTGAAGCAGCCCCAGAGTCCTTCTCCACTCGTATACCAAATGCAAGTTGCAACATTATGGGCTCGACACACGGGAGGCGACAAACGACCGCGATCAGCGAAATTTGTCGCTGTCACTTTTATTACCTGTCACACGGGAGGCGATCCGCGGCAGCGGCCAGCGGCAAAGCCGTCTACGCGTTCTGTTCCATGGCGAAATCGAGACTTCCGTTGTTTTGTTTGGCTGTGTCACGTTGGAGGGAATTAAGGTTATTTAAGCGGTTCAGAGTTAATAAAGTGGTAGATATGATGTTTCACAAGGTGCTGCTAGAGTATGTGAAATCTTACTTCTGATTTTACTATATACAACATAATAATAATCAACTTCTCCTTCATGTTTGCTCGGAGATGTGCGGAGCATAATGTCCGATCATTGGTCAGTGAATGAAACCTCCGTTGATTGGTCCTCGTCCGAGCGACAGCGATGAAAAGTTGAATGTTTCAACTTTCTGGGATCGCATCGCTGGGTCGCACGTGCACGAGTGCAAACTTTCACACGCACGTTTTTCGCGTTTCGCTTGGTAGGAGGGAGACCCGCGATTATCGCTTTGTCGCGCATGTCTCATTGAAAATGAATGGAGGAGAGGCGATGTCGACTCCCGTGTGTCGAGCCCTTTTAGTAGGTGTTGCCTGGCGGACCTAGAGGGCGGAGCTGCGGCAATGAGGAAGACAGATGCGTCGAAGCTAGCTTTTTTTCACTCTGAGCTGCCAGTGATTAGAGGACTTCTCTCCCCTTCCTTACCCAGACAATCGAGAAGAAAGGGGCCTATTTGGAGGAGACAAGCGGACCTGAGCCTTATTGTTTTGAGCTTGTGAGTTGCCTGAAACCACCGGAGCCGACCCAACAGAACCAGCTTTGGTAGGTAGCCGTTAGCCATAGCATTAGGCAGTGCTCGACTCCATGGCCTTAGAGAGCTATTATCAAGCATGTTTGAGAGGTTTATCTGCTTCAAGGCAGATAAATCTACAAGATAGACCGGAGTGAAGGGGGAAAAAGAGGACCATACTAAGGTACTTGATAAGTTTGCTGAAAAAAAACAAGAGGATCGCTTGTCATC